CGAACGAAACGTGTTATTTTCTTTCGAGCGAAACAAAGAAATTAATGGGTACGATTGTTAAAAAAAACGTCCAAGTTGCTGTGTTTTGTTCGCCCTTGTTGATAAGAGAAAATCGTTAGACCGTACACGACAATTGGCGTCGGTGTTACGAATACCGTCGAGGTGGACTTGAACAAAGGCAACGGCTTCGCTCGGGAAATAATCAATAAGAACAAATGTTCGTGGTGTACGTGTAGGCTAGCGTTTGAGCATGCATACGTTTGTTTCATTATAAATGGACAGATTTCAACGCTGGGTCGACAATGCACGTAAATAAATGTTATAAACGATATAGATACTCCTTTGCATCGAGTTGAGCAAGATTAACAGTGGAGACGAGATGATGAGGACGGGTCACTTTTGACCCACCCTTTCAAAAGCCTTCTAAGACGTTGCAGAACGAACTTTATTAAACATCTACCTTTATATCACTGTTAGTATGGACGCTAGTATATAAATACATAGGTCGAGAACTGTAAATTAGTATTAATGCAATATTCAATCCTCGATGGAAAAGGCTTCGAAGGACTCGTATCCGGGACGCACTGATCCGTTAGAAACGTTTCGATTAGTTTCCAGAGTGACGAGGTCTTTCGGTGAAAAGATCGTGTCAATTATGAAACTTTGAATAGGATGAAACCGTGATTATTACAGTGTACCGTTAAGGAAACCACATCAGGCAGTACCGTTGACCTGAAGCCGCGCGTTCCCGTACCACCACTGACCCAAAAACGACTCTCATTGTTTGAGAATCGAGACAATTACACGTTCTATCCTCCTATTTGCATACGAGAGTACGCGGAAACGCGACCACACTCTCGAATATGTTAATAACAGGCAAAAAAGGCTGCTGTCTGAACAAATATATGTAAACACAATTCTTCAAAATGGCGGACAGTGGTTGGACGAAGGGTTCGAAATCTCAAAGCCTAAAAAACCTAAAAAACGACGATCAAGGATATTAAGTTTCGTTCGACCCCCAGGATTCGAGTAAAAATTTAATTTTAATTCGAGTTAATTTTCCCAAAGCAGTATGAAAATTTTTGCATAACCTAAAAAAACGACGATCAAGGATATTAAGTTCGACCCCCAGGATTCGAGTAAAATGCACGATATCGGAAGCAGCGGATGCAAATGTAACTGCGCACGGTTAGTTGCTTGGCATAATAGGGCCAACAAACGATTCTTCGCGGTAACTACGCGTGCAGATTGGACATCAATGGGATAAGTTCGCGTGATATCGTTTCGATACCGACGGTCACGGCCCGGAAAACGATCGTTCCTTTGAACTTTCTCGATTCCCGGTAACCGTCTGCAGCCGGTTAATCGACGAAGCCCCGGGTTTACGACGCTTGTAAGAAACGCGTCGCTTGCGCTGTTCATTGACGGAGAAACCGTTCCACGGACTCCGCTAAACCGGCTAGAATGACGGGGCAGCGACGCTAATCTCCCTCGTTCAACGACACGCGCGCCTCCAACCGTATACAATTACAATCGATGCGTAGAGGGCGGGCCCGGAGATTCGGGGAACGAATAAAACAAAATGATGGCCACGCGTCAACGATAATGAATATACAGTATTGTCTCTATAGAAGCGACGCTCTCGGGGCTCAACGCTCGGCTATATCGTGGACGAGAAACGATTCTTGATACTTTGTTGACGCCTACTGGAGGCGGCGAGTATAGAAAAGAACAGCGAGCATATGACAAAGAGGGACTGAGCGGCCGAGCATCGCCGAATTTGCTATCGCTTCCTTCGCTTCGGGTCGGCTGTAACGAAACACAGGCGATGTTTATGCGAGCCTATACGAAATCGGTGTTCTAATTCTGACTTCTACCTCTCTTGGTAGAGGTCGCAGAATGAAATACTGATTCTGTATAGGCTCGCGTAAACATCGCCTGTGTTTCGATACAGCCGACGTGGAGTCACTTGAGCGATGCATGCCTTTGATTTCTTATTGCGTTAGTAAATAGGACCTAAATTGTATATCGTATTTGGTGTCATTTTAATCAGAAAAGTGTCACGAATATGTTGATGAAGTTTGAAAAAAGGAAGAACAAAAATAAAGATGAATTTCGTTGTTGATTTAATATTGTATATGTACTAGTTAAATCGTGTCATAACTTCAGTACATATATGTATGTATCGATCGTTTACTGCAATAGTGATATAACCCGAAAAGATATACATAACTTGCGAATTTAAACTGTTTAACCAACTTATTTTACTCTGAGTTGTCTCACGATTTCGGCAAATAAATGATAGGTCAATTAAATTACAATTCCCTTTTTTCAGATGAGGATACACTTTAAAGAAAGGTCAAATGTATATTATAATTTATGAAAAACAATAATAAAAATTATGTTGTACTTGATCTTAGTTAAATCAGAAAACTGTCACAGACATGTTAAAAGTTTCAAAACAAGAAAACGAAAAATAAAAAATTTGTCCGTATCGTATGACAATGTTCGACGACCGACTGTCAAACGCGCCGCTATCTTGGGGAACCGCCCATAGGAAGGCATACTCGCCGATACAGCGAGTGCTTAGTTCTAACGGTACGCAGTGGGGATAAGTAGAGGGGATATGATATTTGCCTATATCGTGGACGAGTTCCGAGCTTATATAGAGAAAATACTGTACTTCGATGTTACGTGTTTTCTTAAATAGAACACCGACATCTCGAAGGCTCGAGACCATTTAAGAATGCGGTATAATTACAAAGGTATCGGTATTCTTTGTTGAAGATTCTTTGTCGCTTATCGCGCCGACAAACAACACAACTGCGCGACAACGTTAAAAGTATTATAACCCAGACCTAACCCTACAGCTCTGCACCTGATAAAATAAAAATGTCTCGCATTCGAATCGAATTTTCATAGAATTTTAATAGCAGCAATCGTGTTTAAGTTGAAGATTGGAATTTTCTCGCGTCGACGACGGAGGAACCTCTCGCGAGACTTCTCTGCGTCGGGAGATCTTTGCTACACGACGCTAGAACGTGGATTGCGCAACAGGTTACACGGTTCATCGACGGCGAAACAATCTCCGAGCAATCGAGATCATCGACCCTCGCGGACTCGATCGAATCGCACGCAACATCGTCTGCCGCGCTTTTTCTCACGGATTGTTGTCCGAAACGCGCGACAACGATTTCCGTATCCGCGGCGATCTTCCGTTATTACGCCGCATCCGAGGTAAAAAACTTTCCAGAGACGCGCGGGAAGACTTCTCCAATCGGATTTCAGGCTTATTTTTTCAAAATATTAAATTTGTCATCGAAATATCTATGGAAAGGTTACTTGGGTTAATGGTCTTCTTCAGAAACAATATGGCGTCGAATGTGGACAAAAATGATGAAAAGAATCTTAAAGTAAGAGTATGACATAAGTAAGGGAAAGGTTAATAACAAAAGTCAAGGATTTTTATTCGAAAGAAATGTTAATATAGTATAAAACACCTAGAGGGGAAAGTTATTTACACTAATGTCGTCTTCCAAAAACAATATGGCGTCGAATGTTAAAGAAAGGTTAATGTTCTTCAGAAACAATATGGCGTCGAATGTGAAAAAAATGATGAAAAGAATCTCAAAAAAAGAGTGAAATAAGTAAGGAAAAGAAGTTAATACGAAAGTTAAAAATTTTTACTTAAAAGCAAAGTTAATATAGTCTGAAATATATGGAGGAAAGTTATTTACACTAAGGTCTTCCTTCAGAAACAATATGGCGTCGAATATGGAAGAAATGATGGAAAGAATCTCAAAAGAAGAATATGCAGTAAATAGGTTATGTGAAGAGATCAGGAGAGAAAGAAGTTAATACAAAAATCAATAATTTATACCCAAAAGTAGAGTTAATATAGTCTGAAACACCTAAAAAAGAAAATTGTTTACACTAATGTCGTCCTCCAAAAACAATATGGCGTCGACTGTTAAAGAAATGCTACAAAGAATTTCAAAAGATGATTGTAAAATACGATTATATGAAGAAACCAAGAGAGAAAAGGAAAGAAGTTAATTCAAATGTAAAATGCCAAAAATTATTGCTCAAAACCAAAGTTAATTATAGTAATCATCAAAACCAATATATGAACTCTACTATATGATAAGTCCAACTTAACCTAACCTATTAAGATAACACTAAAAGTGCAAACTAAATGTAAAAACCGATAAGAATAGTAAAATTCATCCCAAAAACCTAAAAAGTGAACAATGTCGAAAAATTTTTGTAAGAACGATAAATGTCAAACGATACAAAATAGTAAACTTTAGTTGCTGTTCGACGTCTTGAGCGGCGATGGCGCGACGAATAATTTAGAGACGCATCGATCTTCGATGCCGCGGCGCATAACGGAAAATTATTAATCGACGGGGAAGACGACCGTGTTCAATTTGATTGTCGGACGCGCGTCGCGGTAACACGTTGCGTCAACTCATGGCGGAAATGTAAAGCGCGTATAACCAGCCGTGATGGTGGACACGAGGAGCTGTCGCAACTCTCGTCAATTATTCTCGACACGAGGGCCCTCCGGGGTCTACACGCCCGGCCATAATCGTCGAATGTTTATCAAGAGTTAAATAACTCAAGATCACCCTCTTCGTTGTCTTTGATATCAACAATTTTCGAAACTCGCCGTTATTTCGCGGTAAAGTAAAAAAACGTAATGGCGGACGGGCGGAATCCCGCGCAAGAAAGCTCGTGGAAGTAATTTTCTGGATTAATTTCCTAACGCCTTGCCCACGAAGTGTATCGACGGTTTGCGTAAGAGGGATCCGAGACGCAAGCAGTGTCAGGCTTGGACGAGCAACGAGCAACGGCAAACTCGTTAAGCCGATTCTCGTTTCCGGCGCGCGTGTGGCAAGAGGATTGACCGAAAGAGGACCAAAACGTGGCTTCGGCGTCTAATTGATCTCTAGGAAGTCGTTAACGAAACAATTGTCAAAAGATAAGAAAGGACTCACCGTCTGGAAGCGATTCGCTGCGGACTGGTCACCGTGCTGGAAGGTGGGCTCGTGGAAGCACCGCCGAATGAGCTGGAGCACGTCGTCGTTCCCGAGGTGGTGTCACTGCCGGTGGTAGTCGACAGAACGCTGCTTTGCCTCGAGGACACGTCGCGACTACGCGCGGCTTGCGATCGACTTCCCCTGAACTGTCTGCCACCCCGTCGCGGCGGCACGACGTTGGTGCTGTTCACGTTCCTCACGGGGGCGCTGGAGGGCCTGAGGAGGGTACCGGAAGTGCCGTTGGTCTGCGCGGCGAGGATCTCCGGGGCGATCAGCGCGATGTCCGGCAGAGAGTTGGGCGCGGATACGATAGCCCCGCGACGGTTATTCGTGTCGCCGCTGCGCTGTCTCTCGATGCCTTCCGGCAGTCTCAAGTGCCTTAAACGTCTCATGGACGCCCTTACCCACGAATTCACCACCGTGGTCGCGTTCTCGCGGCCCACGGACTCGTTGGCCGCGTTGCACCGCGTACCCTCATCCTGATCGGTGTCCTCGTTACGGTCGGGCAACGGGTCGGAGGTCGACCATCGCGAACCACCGACCACCAGGGACTTTGCCGTCCCGGAGACGGACATCGCGGCACTGCAGCCCGCATCGGTAGCACGATGCTCGCAACCGCGCCTGCGCCTCGCGCTCTCGCTGGTGGGGGATGCGCTCCCCCCTCGGTGTTGCTCGGCGGTCTCCTGAACCGCGTCGACCGCAACGGGCGCCGACGACGACTCCGTGGGCCGCGGGCACTCCACTTCCTCCAGCCACGACCAATCTACTTCCGAACAATCGGAACATCCGTCCTCGGGGCTCGTGTCCAGCTCGTCCTCCCTCGAAAAGCTGGAAAACGAACGCCATCTTTCTTTCATTCGCGCCACTTTCAAACGGACGATCTTTCTTAGCGACGGTTGAGCATACTTTGGGACTATCCTACGATTTCTCAGCGGATGTTTGGTAGCTTAAATGTGTTATAACTAAACTGTGAATCAAATTCGTATTTGTACGAATTAATGCAATGGGAGCTTTATAGAGGTTATGTGAATATAGTATTTCTTATATTTTTGCATATTAAGTGAATTTTGTAGTTTCTTGAGAATTGAACATCCACAGTCTAGTTACAATATTAACCCTTTTGAATCTGCAAAACTTTATAACCTCAAATGTAAATATAAATGTGTTCCCACAGCCAACCACGAGTATGCTTGATTTTATGTATGTGAGCTACTATTTATGATGAAATATGTGTATCTATTAAGAAATAACAGAACTTGGGTAAACAATAACACTCAAAACAGGAATGAAGAGAGAGAATGAATTAAAAGAAGGCTATATGAAAGTTTAAGAATATCCAAGAGCTAATATCAATTGCTATTGCAATTTATGTTAAATTTTACTGATACAATGATGAACCTATATCAACTTGTGACGCCTTTCAATGAAAGTACTGAGCAATTAATTGTCCGTAAATCCAATATTACTTGAACATACAAGCCATGGTACCTTCCATATCATTTTGGATGAGGTTATGAGGATTTGAAATGGGATTGGACGCCCTGTGATCGCCGTTAGAGAAACAATCGTGCCCTAAATGAAGAGCGTACGACAGGTCGTACGGCGAAAGTTCTAAACTCCTTTGTTTCTCAGGCGTGGCTGCACGTGCCACTTCGGGGATCTGCACGACGTCCAACCGACTTGGATCCACGCTTCTCGCGCACGACTCCCGTGGCACTACTTCCGGCTGCTCGCTCTTGTCGTGCAACGTAAGTACTCCCCTTACCGGGACCCGATGCGAGACCGCGCGTACAAAAGGCTTTTCCACCGTTCCATTCGATCCCCGTGAGTGCCACCCGCACCTCACATCCGCCTATCGTTCGATCTAGGGTCGTTTCAACAGTTCACCCCCCTCATGACATTATCTAAGTTTTTTTTACTTTATTTGTATTTTAAAATTACATTTGTTTTATAGATTTATCACTTTTCATTGTCCCTGTTATTTAGAACTTTTTTGATTCCTTCTCAACGATGACATCAAGAGCATGATGGAAGCAGCGAAGCTATTGAAATTATGTTTCGCCTTCCATTTGTCAAAGCGCGATAAAATCCACGAGATTTCTTTTACCCTTTCCGTTAACAGACAGACTTGTTTTTATTCTCGTTATCGCTGCCCACGGGTTTTTTGATAAGTTTCTGCAGAGCTAACGTTAACGACACGAACGAATTGGTCTTTTTAATTAGGAACACGAACGCTGACGGACGGTTTCGCTTAATAGATGCGAGATAACCGCGAATTGTTAAGTTACAGTGAAATATAGGGTGTTCTGCCACTCCTAGGAAATTTATTTTTGTCTAGAGGCCAAAATAAGACGGAAATCAAGAATAACAATTTGTTGATGGAGACTTCGTTAAAAAGTTATTAACAATTAAATTCAAAAATTTCAAATCGTTCTGGAAAAATTATATTTAGTTAAGGGGATCAATTGCAATCATTTTTGGTGAATATGCATATCCCTAAAATCTTAACCACTTTCGAGAAAAAAAATCGGATAGGTGCTGAAATTTTTCGACGAAATAAAAATTTTAATGGTAGTTTCTAGAGGCCAAAATAAGACGAAAATCAAGAATAACAATTTCTTGATTGAGGCTTCGTTAAAAAGTTATTAACAGTTGCGTCTGTAACAGTTACGCAGGTTGCACATCTACAGGCGCAACTGTTAATAACTTTTTAACGAAGCCTCCGTCAACAAATTGGTATTCTTGATTTTCGTCTTATTTTGGCCTCTAGAATCCCCCATTAAAATTTTTCCCAAGGTTGGCTGAACTTCTTTATTAATATTCCAGCGAATTTGCGTGATTTCATTTAGGGAGTGATTTTTATAGAAGTGTATTCTTATCATTTCAAAGCGTGTCTCGCAAGTCAATGCTTTTTGCTACCCACAAATTAGCGTCCAATCCTGCTTGATTCTCAAGCCTGACAGATATCATTTGATCGTCTCGCTCGCTTGACTCATAATCGGTCCTGTCTTTTACGTCACTGCGTACTAATGTATTACGATCACGCAAATCATTCGTTGCACGCTTCACAGATAATAATAGCAGTGTAACTTTTACTTCCATTACGCTTACAACTAAAGCATCGACAATGGCTATACAAGACGATTCTACGAACCGGGTTCACACAAGCTACAGTTCTTTTCTAAGGTGAGACACTATTCTTATACTCTCGGGTGCAGGACAAGGTTGAATCTCTCAATAGAAGAGACTTGTGTCTTCTTCTATTCCCTTCTACATTTTCTTTTTAATATTCTACATATTATAGCTTTGCTTTGCTGGAGGTAACGAGAAAAATAGTAAGGAAAGCCTACCACAGGCCTGCTAAGCAAACTCATCGATAAAAGCTTCCTAGCAGGCCCTCAGTCGCCATGACACTGAATAGTCGATCGAGGAGCGTATATATAGCAACAGAGGTGGCGGATCGAGCGCTAGCGAGAGACTCAAGAGCGTGGCCCTCTGGCGGCGAGTACAGAAGGTAACACCACAATTCAACCTTATCCTGCACCTCAATCATCCTGTACAATAACTCGTACCTCGAGATGAAACTGGACTGTCGATGAGCGACGGTGGAAGTGGACGGTTCGCAGTTGTACTCCCCCAAACTGGTGGACCTGTCGAACCTAGTAAAAGCGTCCTTGGACCCAGTCTTCAAGCTGTTGGTCCCCTCGGTCCATGATTTGCGATGCATGCGTTGAAACGACGTTCTTCCAAACACCTCCTCCTCTTTGCAACGTTTCTTCACGATCGGCATGCCACCTGCCTCGAGCTCGTGACCCGCGGAAATGGACCTGATCTTCCGCGAGATGTTGGAGGAGTTAGAGGACAATTCGAACGCCGGATTATCCAGATCAACGTTATCCTTCTGGACGAAGTAGCCGTCCGGAGCTTTCCAACTCAAGGCCCGGGACGATCCACGATGGAAGCTCAACAGATCCTCGTTTTCCGATCGTGTCAATAGTACCGACACGTGGGAGTCCTCGACGTCGTCGCGACGGTCGTAGCTGGCCTCGACCTGGTCCTCCGCGTCGTCGAGCTCCGTGAGGAAGTTGAAGGCGTTGTTGATCTCCTGGGCCTCGAACGTCTCGTCCTCGTGCTTTTCGTGACTCGACACGGTTCCATGGTCGACAGTGTCCTGGTGCTCCTCGTTAATATCGGAACATGTCTTCCTTATGACTGGTTCCAAGTTCCTGGTGATGTCGCGGACCCTTTTTATCGTATCGGACGAAACAACGTCGATCCTCTTTCGAATAGGCACCACCTGGTCGTGACCCAGCGTGACCAACACGTCGCCGTTGTCGCTCACGCTGTGCACTTGTTCCTGCTTTCTGGTCAGCGAGAGCGTCTGTTCCAACTTCGGCGGGCACACGTCGAGAAGATGCTCCTGCTCCTCGGGCAACAACTCCTCGACAGGCACCCGTGGCACGCACACTTCGTTCCCTAGATCGATCAGGTCGCCATCCTCGTTCGACGTCATTTTGCGCTGCTCCCTTTCTGCAATCATGAAAATTTATTTTTTATTACGAAATAAAAGTAACATAACATATTACAACGACGGTTATTTGACTTGGTCTCAGTGGTTTATCGTCCGCCATCTTGTCAACGAATTTATTCAAACGACGGTTATTTGGAATAAAAATTATTTAACTTGGGCCCAGTGGTTTATCGTCCGCCATCTTGTCACCAAATTTATTCAAACGACGGTTATTTGTAATAAAAATTATTTGACTTGGGCCCAACGGTTTATCGTCCTTGCGTTGTCCGTCAACTTGTCACTAAAATTATTCTAACGACGATTATTTGGAATAAAAATTATTTAACTTGGGCCCAACGGTTTATCGACCTTGCATCGTCCGCCATTTTGTCACCAAATTTATTTGAAACGACGGTTATTTGGAATCAAAATTATTTAATTTGGGCTCAGTGGTTTATCGTCCGCCATTTTGTCACCAAATTTATTCAAACGACGGTTATTTGGAATAAAAATTATTTAATTTGGGCCCAGTGGTTTATCGACCTTGCATCGTCCGCCATCTTGTCACCAAATTTATTCAAACGACGGTTATAAATTATTTGACTTGCGTCCAGTGGTTTATCGAACTTGCATCGTCCGCCATTTTGTCACCAAATTTATTCTAACGACGGTTATTTGGAATAAAAATTATTTGACTTGGGCCCAACGGTTTATCGTCCTTGCGTTGTCCGTCAACTTGTCACTAAATTTATTCAAACGACGGTTATTTGGAATAACAATTATTTAACTTGGGCCCAGTGGTTTATCGTCCGCCATCTTGTCACGAAATTAATTCAAATGACGGTTATTTGGAATCAAAATTATTTAATTTGAGCTCAGTGGTTTATCGTCCGCCATCTTGTCACCAAATTTAATGTAACGTCGGTTATTTCAAATAAAAATTATTTAACTTGAGTCCAGCGATTTATCGTCCTTGCATCGTCCGCCATTTTGTCACCAAATTTATTCAAACGACGGTTATTTGGAATAAAAATTATTTAACTCAGGCCCAGTGGTTTATCGTCCGCCATTTGTCACCAAATTTGATGAAAAAATGACGATTCAAGTCGGAACATTATTTGGTAAAAAGATGGCGAACGATTCCGATACGATACACCTAACCTCTTCCCACGAACAAAGTGGGCCGTTTCTGTCTCTGACCGTCTGAACCTGTCCCACATTCGCCTGACTCGAGGACGAAATATCTTCGCCGTGTATTCTAATACAACGACTCTGCCTTGTAACGAATAATCCTGGAAGAATCGTTCCACGAATTGTTGCGAACTCACCGTTGAAAAAATATCGAAAAATGTTACGAAGCTTCCATGCAGGTGCCATGCTCTGATTAACGATTTAAAACGGAATCGATGCTCGACTTCGCCCGCAGAAAGAGACACGTGAGAATGCCGAACGTTCGAAGGAAATAAGCTGGAGATGATTGTGTCATAACATTAGACGCTATTAACAATGGAACGCTAATTACGAGCATTAATTAACCGCGAAAAACGTACCCGGAAAGCGTGACGATAGATTATTTATTGCACGCGTTTAAATATCCTATGATAAGATTCGTTAAATTAAATTTTCTTTCTGAAACAATTCGTCGAATTATCATCGATCCTGTAACGATCCAAATTATTATTACCACGGGTGAAGGATTATCGTTGTTCGGGGAAAAAACATCGCGTACCGACAGTAACACGCGCGACCTTTCTTGCTTTATTGTCGTCGTGATCAATGGAATTAACTGTGCTAGGCGCGAGACCCGCAGTTCGTTGAACTTTTAATACCAACGTATCAGAGAAAGGGTTTTAATAGGTGAAACAGTAAACGAATTTTTCTAAATAATAATTTATACATTCATATCGTATCGTTTGAATCGTTGCCAAATGAAAAACTGTGTAATATTCTGCAAGATTAAAATTTTTATTTTACACCATTCTACATAACCTAAAATTTGTTTCAGTAATTATTTTAGTAACCTTGTTAAAATTCACAGGATCGATTTTTGTGTGTCCAGCGGTTATCGACCGTTGGCCGATTAATCTGCTTTCGACGCTTATCGACCGGTTTTCGGAATGAATATCAAATAACATTTTAACAATTATAAATCGCGATGAAATTACAGTGGTTCGAAAGAAGGGGATTATGTGTCTTGTGTGACTGCCAAAACCGGTCCTGAACCGGAGAACAATTCGCACCCAACTGAGTCGTTGAACGGTTACTTAAATCATAACCTATAAATAGTGTTAAAATAATATTGAGCGACAATGACGCAAAATATTCCGACGTATCTGTTTCCAACGATTATTATGGCACTAATGCTAGCACGATGTTAAAAATTTTCAGGCAACACGTCGTCGCGAGGGAATATGACTCATTCGGTAATTGATTCATTTGCCTCGCCACTTGCGAGACAGAAGAACAGTGTTTCCGAAACGTTGCCCTTTTCGAACGGTATCTGTCATCTCACACGAAGATGGAAGAATGAACCCGACTTGTCTCTCCACTTTATTTATCTCCATCGATTTCATACGGTCGCGTGTTTACAAAAATCGATCGCTCGAGCGAATAAAGCACGCGTGAGCAATATTTCCAGCGACCGTAGCAACGTACGACGCGCTGCATACCAAATAGCAACGACACGCAACGGCCACCGAGGGAAACAGCAGACAGAATTTTCGGAATGAGGGATTTCCGAAAGTCGCGACCGGGGGATACCTCACGGTCGATATTTCAGGACGGGTCCGCTGCACACTGGTCCAAGTAACAGGTAACCAGTAACCGGACCTTCTCAGCTGGCAACGGCTCTACATAGCTCATTCGTGAATCACGAACCAGGACAACGCCACAAGAATATTTCTGAGGGGCTCGAAGCTAATCGACGTCTCGAGAGGGGACGTACCTTTTACGTGTACCAACAAATCCATGCTTTTTACTAGCTTATTTGTTAGGCACTTTCGTTAAAACTTTCTTATACGACGATTTTATTGATATATAGAATTCCTTCGACATGTGTATACTAAAAACGTGATATTCTTGTAATTAATATATTTTATTGAAATTTTTATGTGGATAATATTAGACATTAGGGGGCGTACTTTTACGTGTACCAACAAATCCATGCTTTTTACTAGCTTATTTATTAGGCATTTTTATTAAAACTTTCTTATACGACATAGAATTCTTTCAACGTGTGTATACTAAGTATTTTTGTAATTAATATATTTTATTGAAATTTTCAGGAATTATATGTGGATAATATTGGAATTTTTTTTTCTTGTGTTATCGAAAAAATTACTAGAAAAACACACACTTGTAAAACGAGAATACTCGTTTCTCGTGTTACATAGTACAAGGGAGTTTAAAAATTTCAAAAATTATTAGAACAAATTCAAAATTAAAGTCATCCATTTGCGATACTAATATGTATTTTTTTTCTTTTCACAAGCTTCTTTTTCATACCACGTATTTTGAGACACCCTATACAGACGAACAGACTTTGCCTTTCGTGTTCAATGCACGCACATAAGATGATTGGTTTTACAGGAAGAAACCTAAGTTCCTATTAAACATTCGTTATTCTTCCATTGTCTTTCTTTAATAAGTTCTTATAAATGTTTCTTTTGAATGCAGAGACACGTTATCAAATAACAATAACATATTCGTTATTTATGCACTATAAAAACTAAATTTTCTTTTCAATCGCAAAAATGTTTAGAAATATTTATTTTTGAAAAAATTTGTAATTTTTGTTAAGCATCGAAAATATTGCAAAATGATGATTTTCATTGATTACAATGCTTATGGCAACTACAATAACTAAATTTTCCTTTCGATCGCAAAAATGTTTAGAAATATTTATTTTTGAAAAAATTTGTAATTTTTGTTAAGCATCGAAAATATTGCAAAATGATGATTTTCATTGATTACAATGCTTATGGCAACTACAATAACTAAATTTTCCTTTCGATCGCAAAAATGTTTAGAAATATTTATTTTTGAAAAAATTTGTAATTTTTGTTAAGCATCGAAAATATTGCAAAATGATGATTTTCATTGATTACAATGCTTATGGCAACTACAAAAACTAAATTTTCCTTTCGATCGCAAAAATGTTTAGAAATATTTATTTTCGAAAAAATTTGTAATTTTTGTTACGCATCGAAAATATTGCAAAATGATGATTTTCATTGATTACAATGCTTATGGCAACTACAATAACTAAATTTTCCTTTCAATCGCAAAAATGTTTAGAAATATTTATTTTTGAAAAAGTAATTTTTGTTGGGCATCGAAAATCTTGCAAAATGACTTTCATTGATTACAATGCTTATGGCAACTACAAAAACTAAATTTTCCTTTCGATCGCAACAATGTTTAGAAATATTTATTTTCGAAGAAATTTGTAATTTTTGTTGCGCATCGAAAATATTGCAAAATGATGATTTTCATTGATTACAATGCTTATGGCAACTACAAAAACTAAATTTTCCTTTCGATCGCAAAAATGTTTAGAAATATTTATTTTCGAAAAAATTTGTAATTTTTGTTACGCATCGAAAATATTGCAAAATGATGATTTTCATTGATTACAATGCTTATGGCAACTACAAAAACTAAATTTTCCTTTCGATCGCAACAATGTTTAGAAATATTTATTTTCGAAGAAATTTGTAATTTTTGTTGCGCATCGAAAATATTGCAAAATGATGATTTTCATTGATTACAATGCTTATGGCAACTACAAAAACTAAATTTTCCTTTCGATCGCAAAAATGTTTAGAAATATTTATTTTCGAAAAAATTTGTAATTTTTGTTACGCATCGAAAATATTGCAAAATGATGATTTTCATTGATTACAATGCTTATGGCAACTACAATAACTAAATTTTCCTTTCAATCGCAAAAATGTTTAGAAATATTTATTTTTGAAAAAGTAATTTTTGTTGGGCATCGAAAATCTTGCAAAATGACTTTCATTGATTACAATGCTTATGGCAACTACAAAAACTAAATTTTCCTTTCGATCGCAAAAATGTTTAGAAATATTTATTTTTGAAAAAAATTTGTAATTTTTGTTACGCATCGAAAATATTGCAAAATGATGATTTTCATTGATTACAATGCTTATGGCAACTACAATAACTAAATTTTCCTTTCAATCGCAAAAATGTTTAGAAATATTTATTTTTGAAAAAGTAATTTTTGTTGGGCATCGAAAATCTTGCAAAATGACTTTCATTGATTACAATGCTTATGGCAACTACAAAAACTAAATTTTCCTTTCGATCGCAACAATGTTTAGAAATATTTATTTTCGAAGAAATTTGTAATTTTTGTTGCGCATCGAAAATATTGCAAAATGATGATTTTCATTGATTACAATGCTTATGGCAACTACAATAACTAAATTTTCCTTTCGATCGCAAAAATGTTTAGAAATATTTTTTTTTAAGAAATTTGTAATTTTTGTTACGCATCGAAAATATTGCAAAATGATGATTTTCATTGATTACAATGCTTATGACGTTCGTGTAATCATTTTGTGAAAATAATAAATATGTCACGTAATTTGGAAGAAGGTTACGTAAAACGCAATTCCAATAAGTATGGCAGTATTTTTTAGGTGTGAAAATCAAGTGTACCCGTAAAGAGTTAAATTATATTACTATATCCCCATATTATTTATTGAACTTTTAACAATTACATATGCCAATGAGTATTGAAAACATTTCTGTGAAAAACTTTTCGTCAATTTGTTTATATGCACGTGACATCACACACACTTCGTCTAACTTCGTCTAACTTCGGCTCCCTTCGGTTTTAGTTATTTAAAAATGGAAGCTTTTACAATATTTCGAATATAATGAAGCTAAATTTCACATTAATGGTAGAATCTTTTATTTATTAACTGTATTTCATGGAATTCATGTTATTATTGGAATTATTATGTTTATTACGAATATCAATTAATCATTAAAATATTAAATAATTCTTTTCTTGGAAAACAGGTTCTTCTAACAAATGAAACTTTTTGTATCAAAGTCGAATACTTGCGTTTAGAAGCGATACAAAAATTCTATTTCATTCGTGATATTACCAATCGCGAAGAACGAAACCGAAATCATAGAAACAGTAACAAAACACTTGTGCAAATAATTACCGTGAACACGTTGACCGAGTTCTTCGTGCATTTTTCAAGCGAAATGCAATAAGAACGGTACATTTGCAAGTATGTCCGACATTGCACCAATACGTACCATCGATACGTATTCGAAGGCCAACCACTCTTGGACATTTGCAACAGCAACTATTCTCAAGATTCTTAAAACTCCTAACCTGTACAAGTTGCGCGAAACACGGAGAAATCGTTATCGATAAAAATATCAAACGTTCCACGTACCTTCGTTCCTTCTGTATTTTCAAAAACGACGTCCAGAATTCGGAACACCTACGCTTCCGACAGAGCCGATCGCGCGAGATTCATCCTTCATTCTTCCCACAATTTCTTCGCGAACACACAGAAGAAAACACCGCTCGAGTAAATCAACGGACTTCGAATCCAATTATTCCACTCATCTTTCCGTAAAAAGACCCGTATATAATACGCGTAACGTCTTTTGTTTAACACTTACGTCATTCCATCGCACGGTAAAAATGCATTCGCGCGTACGTGATCGAACGACTTAACGCGGTCAACGTTCCCCGAGATGCAACCGACTCTCGAAAATTCGTGAACCGATCGGGACCGAGCATAAAGCCATCTAAAAATATTGCGAGCTCGGTTGGCCAGAAACGCGTCTATCGTTACGGGGGGGAAAAAAGGTTCGATACTGCTTTCACCGATAAATCAACGGATAGTGGCCGAAGAAGAATTCGAATTTCTCTTTACCCGTGTATATCGTGAAGCAACGGAGCAGTTGGCGCTGCCTCGTAACACACCACTCGTGGTTTAGATTACCGCCACCGCGCCGATAAAACTTCTTTTGGCTGTCCGGGTACGCATCGGGGCGACAGAATTTCGTTCCGCGGGGGTATGCTCGCGATCCATCGAGCCACGAAAATCGTAATCCACTGCCACCCGGGGGATCTCGATACGAACGATCGTTAAGACGATCGGTTTTCTTCCGATCGGATCCGATCCCTTTCGACTCGAAGATTTCCAGTACCACTTTTGCGTTCGGCCGGCCCCGTTATTCTTGGCACTGGTTCGAAAATTCAGACAGACCACTGCGCCGGAGCGATTCCCGATGGCACCGCTGCTGGACGGTGAATCAACGGGCGCGTTCGTTCGTTCGATTCACGTACGTGACTTTAAAGGGCACGTATTCGTCTCTTGGTTTTCTTTACGCGCCTGGTCTTTGTTCCGCGCGAGCCGAAACGAAGCGGGTCCGCCGCTGCAACGCGCCACGTAGATGATACGAAACAAGCGATAGTACTTCACGGTATCCGAGTAAGGCACGCACTGAGAAAGAACGAACGTCGGCAAGGAGAGTCCGATGCGTGCATTCACCAATTCACTGCCGATCTTCGGTGTGTGTCGGTGTGGGCGTGCTTGCCTGGCCTGCCAGCCTGCCTGCCTGCCTGCTTACCCATCGGAAAGAGAGTATGCAAGACCCAATGGCGGAGAGAAAGGGAACCAAGAGGAAAGAGGTGAAGAACCAGTGGAGAGGGCGAAAAAGAGTAGGTGATTCGAAGACAGAACAAGCATAGGCGAAAGCGGACACAACCAGCCGCAAGATTCGCGACGACACCCCGCTAAATACATAATGCCAAATTCAATACAACCGTTTCGACCATCGGTGTTTCGCGTACATGGGAATTCGGGACACAAAATCGTAACTTCCGAAGTAATTCATTTTTTACCTGGGACCCCCAATACTTTTTTAAAGAGAATGATAAAATGTATCAAAGGTTGCATAAAAATATATAGTGTCCTAAAAAATTAAAAAATTAATTACAAAAATTAAAAATTGATAAAAAATTGTTGTCAATTATAACTATTGCAATTTCTTTAGAAGTGATTACTGACTTTTTTTAGTGGATCAACGGAAATGTCTGAACAATCGTAATAATCATTTTGAGTATATGGACGAACGGGATAAAATTTTTAGTCTTTTTTTAAATATTTACAAACATAAAATAATTAAATGTAAGACTGTTAACTAACTTAAATGTAAAATAATTAACTTTTAAAGATCTCGAATATTTTCTCCGTATCGGGCGAACTTGGGCAACTAGGTTTAATAACCTCTAAATTAGTAAAAAAAATATCACGAAAGTTACTTATCGTTACATTTCTTAAAACTCAAGTCAAAGTTGAAAAACATTGAATACAACAAATTGAGAACTAGGTTTGACGTTGACTTAAAGTTTAATAACCTCTAAATTGGTAAAAAAAACTATCACGAAAGTTACTTCTCGTTACATTTCTTAAAACTCAAGTCAAAGTTGAAAAACATTGAATACAACACATTGAAAACTAGGTTTGACGTTGACTCAAAGTTTAATAACCTCTAAATTGGTAAAAAAAACTATCACGGGAGTTACTTCTCGTTACATTTCTTAAAACTCAAATCAAAGTTGAAAAACATTGAATACAACACATTGAAAACTAGGTTTGACGTTGACTCAAAGTTTAATAACCTCTAAATTGGTAAAAAAAACTATCACGGGAGTTACTTCTCGTTACATTTCTTAAAACTCAAGTCAAAGTTGAAAAACGTTGAAAACAACAATTGAGAACTAGGTTTGACGTTGACTTAAAGTTTAATAACCTCTAAATTAGTAAAAAAAATATCACGCAAGTTACTTATCGTTACATTTCTTAAAACTCAAGTCAAAGTTGAAAAACATTGAATAGAACAAATTGAGAACTAGGTTTGACGTTGACTCAAAGTTTAATAACCTCTAAATTAGTAAAAAAAATATCACGGGAGTTACTTCTCGTTACATTTCTTAAAACTCAAGTTAAAGTTGAAAAATATTGAATACGACAAATTGAGAACTAGGTTTGACGTTGACTTAAAGTTTAATAACCTCTAAATTAGTAAAAAAAATATCACGAAAGTTACTTATCGTTACATTTCTTAAAACTCAAGTCAAAGTTGAAAAACATTGAATATAACACATTGAGAACTAGGTTTGACGTTGACTTAAAGTTTAATAACCTCTAAATTAGTAAAAAAAATATCAGAAGAGTTACTTCTCGTTACATTTCTTAAAACTCAAGTCAAAGTTGAAAAACATTGAATACAACACATTAAAAACTAGGTTTGACGTTGACTTAAAGTTTAATAACCTCTAAATTAGTAAAAAAAATATCAGAAGAGTTACTTATCGTTACATTTTTTAAAACTCAAGTCAAAGTTGAAAAACATTGAATACAAAAAATTGAGAGAGATTGTTAATATTGCAAAAAAGTTAATCAGTAATTTAAAATTTTATAATACTGAGCATATAAAAATCAAGTCATTTTTCAGAAAATTTGCGCAAACTGCAAATTTTCCGGAAAATGTATAAAAAATTGGCATCAACTTTGAAGCACCATTTTCAATTACAAAATAGTAAATTCAGTAAAAAAGTAACATAGTATCAAAATCTATGTATCTTCATGAATATTTTAAGCTATAATAAGCCATCATTTATAGATTTTAATTTTTTTAATTTGTCCATTACACGAAACACTGCTCATCGTTCTTATTATTCTACCATTCCTATATTTATCAGTTTCTAGACGTTAACATACATCATTTATTATATTCGTTAAATAAATATTTAATTACCTAATTAAAAAATTTATTTTTCCCAACTCTGGTTCTACGAACACTACAAAGTTGGTATAAAAAAATTTGGGAGAAACGAGAATTTTAACCTCTTCAGGGACGAATTTTTTTTTCTTTTTTTCTATTTTTTTTGTCTATTTATTATTGACAGTAACTATAATTTACTGAACGTCCACATATGTGGCCAAGAGCGTGAAGAGGTTAATAACGATTACTATACAATGCGCTCATGATAATTAGATTACACGGGATGACTTTGTACATTTATTAATTGTATTGATTTTTATAATTTTTAATTCACGACGTTAGATCTGTAAATCGCCTTTCTAAAACCACCGAATTCAGACGATGCTTGCAAAGAAACTGACCCTCTAAAAAGAGAACTGGAATTTCGTATTTGTACAGCTCGAGGAACCTTTCGTTCCCCGGTGCTGTAATGTCAACTTCTTGCAGTTGGTAACGACCAGAAAACTGCGCTTTCAACTCGTTTTTTAGATTATCGCAAAGCGGACACGGACGTTTTGTGTACAATGTTAATGTCGGTGGAGAAGATATTGTATGGCACCTACAGAAAGAGAGAATTTTAAAAATATTTTTTAACATTGTTTATTCGTCGTAACAACGTGATTTGTAAAAATCTAAATATAAAAATTACACGTGTGTAGTAAAAAAATAGAAAGTTTTTACGATTCTTTCAAAAACCATATGGTAAAATACATTTTTTACTGGAGTATTGATCGAGTATAGTCTTTTCCCCGCATAATAAGTATAAAAATATTTCCGCATCAGCGGAAACGTTTCTCGTCGCGGACTTACAATTTTTCGATTAAAATTGAAGAGGCACCGCCGCCTCCGTTACAAATGGACGCAACACCCTTTTCCCCAGCCTTCAGAGCGTGTACCAAGTGTACCACGATACGTGCCCCAGACATACTAAAATGTTAAATATAGTTTATATTTCATTTACGATTAAATAGTTAAAATACTCACCCGATGGGGTGACCAAGAGACACAGCGCCGCCGTGGACGTTTACTTTACTAGGATCGATATCGAGCAGCTTCTGGTTTCCAACGACAACTACGCTGAAAGCTTCGTTGATCTCCCAAAGGGCTATATCGTTTTTATTAACACCGGCCCTTTGTAGCAACTGAAAACAGATACATGTCTCGTCATTAAAAGCTTAAAGAGTATATTGTACTCTAATGTACATCGCAATAATGTACTTTGGGAATAGCGAAAGACGGTGCAATTGGAAAATCGATAGGATCGGTCGCAGCATCTTGAAACGCGGCCACTCGCGCCAAAGGCTTCAGATTCATTTTCTGCGCGACGTTCGCAGTCGTTAAAACCAACGCGGCAGCTCCATCGTTCAAAGTCGACGCATTTCCAGCAGTGACTGTACCATTTTCTCTCTGCAATAAATAGAAATCGTTACGTAAAATCTGGATCGCTAATTTTTAATCGACTTATAGGTATACCTGAAAGACCGTGTTCAATTTGTTAAATTTAGCAAAGTCCACCCTCTTGTACTCTTCGTCTTCGTTGAATACAATATCAGGTTTGCCTTTTTTTTGCGGCACGTTAACTGGTGCAAGTTCATCTTGAAATACTTTATTCGCATACGCTTCCGCGCTACGTTTGTAACTGTTGATAGCGTATTCGTCTTGCTCTTTGCGCGTGATATTTAACTTTTTAGCAGTGTTTTCTGCGCAATTGCCCATATGAAATTTGTTGTAAACATCCGTTAAACCATCAAACACGATCCCATCCTGTAAGATTGCGAGCGAGTGAGATAATTGGGAGAATGTACAGAAATTTAATGAAATATTGAAAATATTTATTGCACCTCGAGTCTCATACCACCGTACTTTGTTTCTCCTCGTGCAAGGTAGAATGGTACGTTGGACATTGATTCCATACCACCAGCAAGCACGATCTCTTGGTGTCCACATTGTAACGTCTGAGAAGCAAGCATGATGCTTTTCATACCGCTTGCGCAAACTTTATTGATCGTTGTACATATCGTTGACTTGGGAAAACCTGTCGCAAACATTTCTATGTTAATAATAAGACCGTAACTGTGTAAACAATGTACTATTTTAAGAAGGAAACCTGCAAACAACGTAGCTTGTCTCGCTGGCGCTTGACCCAAAGAAGCTTGACAAACATTTCCCATAAAAACTTCTGTAATCTGATCCTTCGAAACCTTGCTACGCTCTACTGCTGCCTTGAAAAATTATTAATTACCATTTGTATTTGGGATTAATTAGCTTAGTCAGAATTTGATTAATACTTGAATAGCCACGGCTCCAAGTTTTGGCGCAGGTACGCTCGATAAGCCTCCGAGAAACGATCCGATAGGTGTTCTGACTGCACTGACTATTACAACGTCGTTTAAATTCGTCTTGGAACAACATGATCGTACATTGAACAGATGAATCTAGACAGAAAGCAAAATATTGAATTATAAACAATCGAGCCATTGAACAAACAAAGGGCACATACATTCTTTACCACTCAAATTGTTTAAAAATGGATAATAAAGATTTAAAGACCGAAAGATATTAAGAAGTCTATTACAATATTTATTAATGCTTCAATTATAAAGTATATCTATTAAAATTTCTCCAAAAAATGAGAAATAAATACAAGTATATAAAATACGTAAAATCGACAATTTCGTAGTGAAAACTAAATTCTTGGAAATTTATTCAATTGTTTATAAATAGTTTAACGATCGAGAACAATTAACTTACTTTGCTAATGTTCTTTAGTGTCAACATTGTGAAAAACAAGCCACTAATTTTGTTCGAACTACTGTGCTAAATGTACAATATGGTTATCAATGTGTGCACACGCATTTAGTAGATAAGAACTACTACAAGTTATAAATTTCTACAGTTTCTCGGTTGATAACAATTTATGTTTGTCAACATTAGAGATGGCGTGAATTGCTACTTTTGAATCATTCGTGATATCGTGATTCGATCACGTTCATTCGTCATTCCCAATCATGGTGATTTTTCATTCACAGTGATTCCGTGATTCTTCGTGAACGTTTTTGATTGGTCGGGAGCGTTCTTTTCACTTTTCACGAATTACGTACAGGGTGTTCGACCACCCCTGGAAAAAATTTTAATGGGGGATTCTAGAGACCAAAATAAGACGAAAATCAAGAATACTAATTTGTTGATGGAGGCTTCGTTACAAAGTTATTAACGTTTAAAGTTCCGCCAGTACTGAATTTTGTTCTCCAAAATGCGCAAGATTTCGGGGGTAGGTATATTCACCAAAAATTATTGTAACTGACCCCCCCAACCGAAAATAATTTTTCCAGAACAATTTGAAATATTTATAATTTTGTCGAAAAATTTCACACCTTCCCGAATTTTTGTCTCGAAAGTGGGTAGGAATTCGAGGGTATGTCTAATGATAAAAAGTGATTATAATTGACCCCCATAACCGAAAATAATTTTTCCATAACGATTTAAAATTTTTTTTTTCTTATCGAAAAATTTAGGGACTACCCCCTGTCGATTTTTCTTATAACTTTGTTTTTCATTTTTAATATATTTGTTTGACGCTCTATAGAAAAGTTGTCTAATACTTTTTTGTAAGTACCCATAGGCTCTGCATCAGAAAAAAATTCCAATGAGATACCTTTACTATTGTAGGAGTTATGGCCGGTTGAAAATTGGACCAATTTTAGGGGATTTTTCTCACTTTACGGTGTCAAGGAACAACTTTCTCAATATTGTTAGAACTTCTACATATTCTCGTAATTTTGTTTGACGACCTACGGAAATATTGTTTAATACTTTTTTGTAGATATCCATGGGCTCTATTTCCACAATAAATTTCATTGAAATATATTCACTATTGTAGGAGTTATGGTCGTTTGAAAATTGGACCACTTCTATGGGGTTTTACTAAGTTTACAGAGTTAAGAAACAACTTTTCCAATATTCTAAGAATTTCTAAATATTCTTCATCAAAATACGCGTTTTTTACATTTTGAAACATTAAAATCCTTCAATCTGTCCAGGCAGCATTTCTGGCCTCACATTAGATTTTTTTTTTCTCGAAAGTACGTAGGATTTCGAGGTATGTCTATTCACCAAAAATGCTTGTAATTGACCCCTCTAACTAAATATAATTTTTTTAGTATGATTTGAAATTTTTTAATTTTGTCTAAAAATTTCAGTACCTTCTTGAATTTTTTTCTCGAAAGTAGGCAAGATTTCGGGGGTACGTGTATTCACAAAAAATGATTGTAATTGAGCCCCTTAGCTAAAAATAATAAAAAAGAGGCCAATATAGGATATTTTCAAAAGCTGGACTATCATATACTGGAAACATATACTTTATCAATGTTAACCGAATACATTTAAATCAAATTAATTTCAAATATTTTAATCGATTTAAAATCTAAAAATGTTGGAATTCCAGCAGGCCCCTTACATCCATCTCCTCTCGCGGTCAAGATACGTCTGTGGTAACGGACGACAGGTAGCTGCTGTGACGTCAGCTTACGCATGCGCAGAACGGAAACCCGCGAGGGAAAATTCCCACGAATGTCCATCACTGCGTTACAATGCATCGAATATATGGTCGAAATATGATGAAACTTCAAATGTCAAATTAAAAAATCATATATCATAAATCGAAGACGTAATTTCACTGAAATTTGCTGGGACGTTTTTCCGATCGACGATATTCGAAATAACTGATATTCCAAAATGAATAATATCAGTGATGACGAGACTCCGACTCGCTTGCGAAATGAAGATTTTCTAGAAGAATTAGCTTCAACGCCGGTGGAAGAACGGCAAGAAAACGAGAGAATTAAACAACTCTCTATAAGATACTTAGAAAACAAAGATCCTTCGAGAGAGTATAGGAATCTAACATCTAGATTACTAACATTTAGTCAGTGGCCAATCTCTTCAATCTTATCGTTTGAAAGAATTGCTAAATCTGGTTTTTATTATCTTCAATACGACGACATGGTAATAAATATAAAAAGATTAAAACCTTACACGGCGTTATACATTTTATTTTCTTTGTTCGCAGGTGCAATGCGCGTATTGTGCAAGTATTGTATGGAAGTGGAAACTTAGTAACGGTTTAAATCCAGATACAGAATACATGGTACATTTTCCTGACTGCGATCGTCCAGACAGAGATGGTATTTATTCATTCGTGCGAAGTAATCCCTTTATATTCTAAATAACCTTTTTATCTTGGTCTTTTCGTTAATAGATATACTGTATTTAAATAACATAAAGTTAAAGCCTGGTAAAAGATCGAGTCTCACAAAATTAGGTGTACAGATACACACGGCTCCTAAAAACCCAAATTATTCGACGTACGAGAAAAGATTGCATACTTTTTATGGTTGGCCGGAAAATCGGATTCAAACTCCGAAACTGTTGTCCATCGCTGGATTTTATTACACCGGTAAATATTCAATATTGACATAAAAATTTCAATTCTCTCTGCTAACTTTGAAATATCGTAAATGTTAAAATTATAGGATTTGGTGATCTTGTTAGATGTTTTCATTGCGATGTCGGTATAAGATCTTGGGAAGCAACGGATGAGGCGTGGAACGAACACGTCAGATGGTCTCCCAAATGTGTGTTCGTAAATCTCATAAGGGGACCAGAATTTGTCAAACGTTGTATCGATAATAGACGACCTTTAAGTCCATCGGTGAATATTATATATTTATCTTGTGTCTTTTAAAAATCTTAAATTATATTCAGTGCTTATACAGATTTTCCGGGGCGTGGCGGAAGATGGAGAACCAGCCACAGCCGAAGCACCACCATCTCTCGCTTTGTCTACAAATTTACCATCTACGCAAGATAATGGGCCAGAAAGATTGTCGGATAGTCCGCTAACAACAGTAATGCTTTATATGTTTATTCCATTGTTCCGAAAACATCTGAACGATATTATATCATCGTCTCGAATAATCTTTTCTTTCAGTATGTTTCAGAAATTGCGTTACACACGCAGAGAATAAATACAGTTATGACAAAACTAATGGAAACAATTGGACCCCTGTATTTAAATTTCAATCAACATATGGACGTACCTCGTGAACAAATAATGGAGGACGATACTAGGTTTAGTAATAATAAAATTGTATCTACATGAAAATAGTGAACGACATAATACTAATGTATTATATTATTCGATTTATAGAAACGAATCAATTTCTACGTTAGATCACGCTGTGAGGGAGCAAATAAATTATACTACGGAACAGTCTGATGATAACGAATCGCATACTACAACTATGAGCGAAACTACGAATGAATATAAAAATGAGATACTCTCGAATAAGGAAGAGGAGCATGAAATATCTAATAACGAAAGTGATGAAAATAAGCTAAAGATTAAACTTAAGGAAATTGGTAAGTAATAACAACGAAACCTGTCTTTGAAAATTTTGAAACCGATATCAAATGATAACCAAACTTGTACCTTTTTCAGCGTCTTTAAAAGAAGAAAATAAAAAACTAAAAGAAGCTCGTTTATGTAAAATTTGTATAGATCGACAGATAGCTATTGTGTTTTTACCTTGCGGACACTTAACTTGCATTCACTGTGCCCTGTCCCTTGCTATCTGTCCAATGTGTCGACGAGAAATTCGTGCTACCGTTCGTGCATTTTTATCGTAAACCGAACAACAAAACGCAGGATATTAATTAATAAATATATCAGTAAGTATATTTATTCAAAGTCGGTAATTTAAGTTGTAAATACATGCGACATTGCGTAAAGATATATTTTTTTGTACAGTTTTCTAGAATATTATTATATCGAGCGTTTTTTGTTCCGCGATAAGGACATGTAAAAAAAATGATAAAATAATTTAAGCGTTAATAATATTATTTCTGTTGAATAAAGGAACTTGCGTTGATATTCTTAGTAAGTACAAATTCCAGAACGTTTTAGAGAAAAGTAATTGTTTTTGCAAGACAATTACGCGGTGCTCGCCGGCTCTGAAAAATCAAGATGGCCGCTCCAAATTTACGTATTCACGTAATTCACGTTATTGATACGCAAATACAAAGGGCACATTTGTTAGATACAGTTAATTCATAGAGTTTGGAGAACTTTTAAAATTTCTTACTACAGGATTAAAAAATTATTTATTTATACAGGGTGTTTGACCAAAGGTGGGAAAAATTGTAACATGCCAAAATAAAACGAAAATCAACAAATCGATATTCTTGATTTTCGTCTTATTTTGGGCTCTAGAATCTCCCATTAAAATTTTCCCCACCTTTCGTCGATCGTTGTTCAAATTATGCATCTGTAGTTGATATAATAAATGCATTTGTTATACCAGATTTATAATACATAGAATACGTATTATCGAATGTATCAGCTGCTGTTAATTGTTCGTAAAAAGCTAGTACAAGTACTTGTAAATATATCGGATTTAATGGACAAAAGAATCGTCCGACTTTTTCAACGTAACAATATATATATATAGATAATATTTTTCCTAGACATCGTGATCTACGCAATTTAACAAGAATAATGAAAAACAATATGTACTTTTGTACTTAAAGCAAGATAACCTGGTAGATAAAGACTAAGGATGTGTCAGCCTTAAGCTTATAACCTTATACTTTGCCAGTTTCTGATACATTCGAGTCGTTAAAGGACAGTGTTGTTAAGTTTGTATTACCTGAAGGTAAGTTTATGCAGTTATTTCATTTCTGTCGTTCCGATAATTCCATATCAAATAATAGAACAAAAACGCGTTCAATGTCTATGTAATATTTGTACAGTAATCATTATACGAAACAATTAGGTTATCGTTTCAAAGCCCGAATTAGACGTACGTTATTTCGTTGTACAGTCGTATGCATATAATATTTATAAATTGACTGTGTGAAAAACGCTATTAAAATGAAGAAAACGTTTAATTCGAGCCTCGTTTCAAGAAAAACCTTTCTCGCCATTAAATATATACGTCTTATGCAAAACAATGTCGCTTTCATTGTTACAACTGACTCATTGTTAAAACACTGGATGACTTGGCAAAGCAGCAGTCACGACCCGTTCCAAGAATTGATTACATTTATTAAAACGATCCGGCGATAACAAGTCGAAAACGAATAATTAAAATTCCTTTGTCGTAAAAATATTATTTCGTTACGTGCCAAACTCCACGTATCGATATAGATATGCATACATTGCCAAAAAACGCATCGATGATGCGGTGTGTTTATCGCATATTTCTATTTTTAAACATTAAAACATATCGGTACGAAGCCGTGTTGCGGAACGTGAAAATAATCGTGGAAGTAGAAGCTAGCAGGAATTAGAGTAGTATATATATAGAGAGAGAGAGAGTATTGATATTGATTTTGGAAAATATCTCTTTGACGAAAAGTTTTCAAAATGACAAAGAATTCTGGGAAATTTACGCGTTAAGCTGCACGTGTAACTGAAAACATAGAGAGAGAGAGAGAGAGAGAGAGAGAGAGAGAGAGAGAGAGAGAGAGAGAGAGAGAGAGAGAGAGAGAGGCGTAGATTGGCCGCGGCCTTTTCCATGGCCTTTTCCATCGCTCCTCCGTTATTACTACGCTTTGGTTGGGTCGAACCCGAGTGGGGACTAAGGAGCTTACAGAGGTACGCCATTGCTCTTCATAACACCAGACACTGGAAATGTTCGAGAGTACCACTCGCGTTTCTCGTTTCTGATATCCTCGCGTCGCATCAATATGGTTTTCATCGCGAGAATATAATTTCGACAAACAGTGCGCGGGTTCTGACTCAGTTACTCGATCCAACGGCCACGTTTTATTAATGAAAGTCGGTACGGTTAATTTGTTCTCGTACCGTTCGTATCCGTATAAACGAAATAATCGAATATATCCGCCACGAGACCAGGTTGTTACTTAGTGTGCGCGTGAAATTTTATTGATCAACGGAGGAAATTAATTTGCTAAAGGACGAAAACGAGAACAAAGTGCGTGTGTGTTCACGGGGGACCTTCACGGTTGTTCCGATATCGGTATGTTACAGTACGTTTTATTAATCATACGTACACGGTTCTTTCTCTGCGGGAAAATGCTACGTACGGTGAACGTTTACTTTCGTGGCTTTATCCTTAAATCTGTATATTGGTCCGATGGTTTCTTCGCGAAAGGCTTGTATTTCATCTTTGTGAAGAAGTACAGATGGTAGGAGGTACAAAAAATAACGCGCATTAGCATTCCTTCTTACAAAAAAAAAAAAAGGATTTAAAATATTGAGAAACTGGTAGTCGCGGATTTTGATGATTTTTTGGTACGTTACGGAGGAGGAGATTGTGAATAAGTTTTGTCCGAACGATAGTGGTCGTTTAGGCTCGGTTCGAGAGATATTTCCAAAAATTGTTGGCACTACCACACGTTCACTATGTCTGCGAGTGTGCGGTAGGCGAGTTGCGTCTGCAAGGGGCCACCGATCGTCTTCTGTTCACATCGGGTTGACCGACAGGCGAGCGTATATAACGGGTGGACAAAAAGATTCAATTTAACCAATTTCAATAATATAACAGCCCCCAGACCTAACTCATACATGCATAGTGTTCGTGCTCGTTGCAGGTTGCCCTCCCCTCGACGGCGAAATAAAAAATAGCCGGACCTAACCTAATCGCCAAAACTAATTGTCGGAATATCGATCAAATTGATTCACCCGTGGGAAAAAATCTTAATGGGAGATTCTGGAGGCCGAAATAAGACGAAAATCAAGAATATCAATTTCTCGACTGAGGCTTCGTTAAAAAGTTATTAAAAAGTTAAATTAAAAAATTTCAAATCGTTCTGGAAAAATTATTTTAACTAAGGGGATCAATTGCAATCATTTTTGGTGAATACACATACCCCCGAAATCCTACCCACTTTCGAGAAAAAAATTCGAGTAGATACTGAAATTTTTCGACAAAATTAAAAAATTTCAAATCATACTAAAAAAATTATATTTAGTTTCAGGGGTCAATTACGATCATTTTTTGTGAATACACATACCCCCGAAATCTTACCCACTTTCGAGAAAAAAATTCAAGATGGTACTGAAATTTTTAGACGAAATTAAAAAATTTCAAATCATACCAAAAAAATTATATTTAGTTACAGGGGTCGATTACAAGCATTTTTGGTGAATAGACATACCCCTAAAATCCTACCCATTTTCGAGAAAAAAATTCGAACAGATGCCTAAATTTGTCGACGAAAAAAAAAATGTCAAATCGTTCTGAAAAAATTATTTTTAGCTAAGGGGCTCAATTGCAATCATTTTTTGTGAATACACATACCCCCGAAATCTTACCTACTTTCGAGAAAAAAATTCAAGAAGGTACTGAAATTTTTAGACGAAATTAAAAAATTTCAAATCATACTAAAAAAATTATATTTAGTTAGAGGGGTCAATTACAAGCATTTTTGGTGAATAGACATACCTCGAAATCCTACGTACTTTCGAGAAAAAAAAAATCTAATGTGAGGCCAGAAATGCTGCCTGAACAGATTGAAGGATTTTAATGTTTCAAAATGTAAAAAACGCGTATTTTGATGCAGAATATTTAGAAATTCTTAGAATATTGGAAAAGTTGTTTCTTAACTCTGTAAACTTAGTAAAACCCCATAGAAGTGGTCCAATTTTCAAACGACCATAACTCCTACAATAGTGAATATATTTCAATGAAATTTATTGTGGAAATAGAGCCCATGGATATCTACAAAAAAGTATTAAACAATATTTCCGTAGGTCGTCAAACAAAATTACGAGAATATGTAGAAGTTCTAACAATATTGAGAAAGTTGTTCCTTGACACCGTAAAGTGAGAAAAATCCCCTAAAATTGGTCCAATTTTCAAACGGCCATAACTCCTACAATAGTAAAGGTATCTCATTGGAATTTTTTTCTGATGCAGAGCCTATGGGTACTTACAAAAAAGTATTAGACAACTTTTCTATAGAGCGTCAAACAAATATATTAAAAATGAAAAACAAAGTTATAAGAAAAATCGACAGGGGGTAGTTCCTAAATTTTTCGATAAGAAAAAAAAAATTTTAAGTCGTTCTGGAAAAATTATTTTCGGTTATGGGGGTCAATTATAATCACTTTTTATCATTAGACGTACCCTCGAAATCCTACCCATTTTCGAGACAAAAATTCGGGAAGGTGTGAAATTTTTCGACAAAATTATAAATATTTCAAATTGTTCTGGAAAAATTATTTTCGGTTGGGGGGGGGGTCAATTACAATAATTTTTGGTGAATATACCTACCCCCGAAATCTTGCGCATTTTGGAGTACAAAATTCAGTACTGGCGAAACTTTAAACGTTAATAACTTTGTAACGAAGCCTCCATCAACAGATTAGTATTATTGATTTTCGTCTTATTTTGGCCTCTAGAATCTCCCAATAAAATTTTTCCCAGGGTTGGTTGAAATGAAACTGTTTGCGAAGAAGCTGTACAAAAATACACAGATTTGGAGCAGAGCCATATTAAAGTAAACATTTATCGAAAAGTTTTATCGGTTCGCGAATAAGATTAGATATCGAAATGGCTTTCTTGATTATAAATTGTGATTATGACGGGTTCGACGAAGATCGAGAACTTGCAGAAGTGAATCGTTTCGGATAAGAAATAATACGAAGAATAATTTCAAAGTAAAGGCTAATTGAAAATATAAACATTTCCTTTTCTTCGTCGTACAAACAATTGACCCACACATGCCTGTGCTGTTTATGTCTATCTCCATTGCATACCAACTTCCGTTGTGTCTCCCTTCCCCTTGATTACGCTGTTGCCAAATGGAACGAACGAAACAGATGTGAAAGTTCAAAGAAAAATCGGACATTTAATTCTGCGATTGATTTTTAATTCGCACAACGAAAATATAGTTCTTTTAGGATGTATTAATTTTGTTTATTTCCAAAGCCCTCGATACTCGAACATAGTTAAACGCAGACTCTTTAAATTTACAACGTTTTAGGTGTCTTCGTACAGAAACAGATTTTTTATCGAAGCGTAGAAGAATGTCGTAAAATAGTGTTCGATAGAAAAATGCGTATCGTTGAAAACATATGCAAAAGTACAGAAGAGTTTCTTGGAATTATTTTTATTTTTCGATTATTGTATATCGATAGCATTTAAACCTATTTCTTATTGTGTATTGGTTAATTCCAGAATTCGTAGATATGATTAATTTGTAGCTTCGTTTCACACGAACAGGCCATTAGAAAAGTATGCATTCCGGAAAGGGGAAGAAAGGAATCCACTGTAGATTTCCAGCCCAGAGCCGTAGCAAACCGGTTTAGTACCCTGTATAAACCGAGCTTTCTCGCAAGTAGGAGCGTGCAGGCTTGTCTCTCGTGTAACGTACGAACATTCGAACAGTACGAGAAAGTCCGACACAGATCGACAAATTTGATACTTTTAAGCAATCTACCCAACGTTTTGGATCAAATTTCGAGAAATTTAATAACAATAAAATTGACCCAGACAAAAAATTTAAGAATCTTAAATAATCATTTAAGATTCTTAAAACTATAACGCAATTATTTTGACAAAGTTTTAACGGTCGTAAGGACAAAATTATGATACGGGGGGGTTCGGCCATTCCTGGGAAAAATTTTAATGGGAGATTCTAGGGACTAAAATAAGACGAAAATCAAGAATACCAATTTGTTGATGGAGGCTTCGTTAAAAAGTTATTAACGTTTAAAGTTCCACTTGCGAGAACAGCTTTAAACGTTAATAACTTTTTAACGAAGCCTCGATCGACAAATTGGTATTCTTGATTTTCGTCTTATTTTTGCCTCTATAATCCCCCATAAAAATTTTTCCCTGGGGTGGCCGAACACCCTGTATAAAAGAGGCATAGGAAGTTGCTACGCCCTTGTCGATACATTTCATTCCCATGAGCGCGCAGTTGTATAATGCAACAAGAGAAGTTAAAATACGGGCCATATACGCGGCAACGTCGCACAGGGCGGTGAACAGCATGAGTGTGTATTACAGCTGCGTCAGTCAGACTATGAGAACGAAGAGAGAGATTGAGCTTGTTTCTCGGAAGTTCTTGTTTGTGTGCGACATGTAGGCTGCGTTATTTCGACGTTACGTGGTGTGTGAAAAGTCTATGATACTCCATCATTCACGAATCATAACGGCATCGCGACCAAGCCAGCGGAGTCCCACTCACTAAAGTCATCTATCTCTCTTTATCTCTCCCTCTTGCTCTCGCTCTCCCATGTATTCGTGTATCCACGAATGCGCATAATTTTCCATAAATGTGCATCACGATCGCACGTCTCTCGCATTGCGCCTCTTTTCTTTTTTTTTCTTTTAACGCATACGTTCCATATGTCCATAATTTTGATATGTAAAATTGATACTAAGCTTAGCCAATTTTACATAGAACGATATCGTTCGATCGTGAATAGCTCTGACGCACGAACTTGCGAAAAAAAGGATTAAATAGAATTATCGCCAATGCCTATAAAATTAATTCAATTTCACGTTGGTAGGTTGTTTGATTTCTGATGTTTTTAATAGGTTTCAAAATAATCGAGGAGACCTTTCCAAGATATTACTTCTATCTCTAATTTAAACAAGATGACTGGTATTATTAAGCACAGAGAGTTGGGAAGCGATACGAATTTTAAACCTTCTGCGAATGCACATTTAACACCACCACCTCCTATAACGCCTCATGTATTAAGAGACGAAGTGGACAACGTCGATTATCACTTCGAAGTGGCCAGACTGCAGAGTTTCGAGCATTGGCCTGTGCCGTATATAGAGCCTGAAATTCTCGCAGCTGCTGGATTTTACTATACCGGTGAGGAGGATAAAGTAAGATGCTTCGAATGCAATGTAGAAATATGCCAATGGATAGAAGGCGATAACCCTATGACCGACCATCAACGTTGGTCTGCAAGATGTAGATTTATTCGCAAAATAAATTGTGGTAATGTGCCGATTGGAGTCGATCCAAGCACGGTTCTACCACCCAGACCGAGAAGCGGGGACGTATGTGGACCTTACGGAATAGAATATCGACCAACATCCGGTCCTGATAATCGTACTTTGTCAACGGAATTGCAACTACCGAGCACAGCGAAATTAAGCTGTTTAGGTTTGGGAAGGTCCAAGGGACCTGTGCATTCTGAATACGCCAGTTACGATGCCAGGCTACATACGTTTGAAACTTGGCCAAAGTTTATGCCACGAACGAAAGAAGAGTTGGCGGACGCAGGCTTTTATTATACTGGAAAAGGTGACCAGACGTTGTGTTATCATTGCGGAGGTGGTTTGAAAGATTGGGAACCGGAAGACGATCCTTGGGAACAACACGCGAAATGGTTCTCCAAATGCTATTATCTGTTAATGGTTAAAGGGCAAGAATATGTAAATAAAGTCACGGGTCAGCATATATCTCCACCGTCTAAAGAGGTAAGTACAAGAGCTGTATCATGTTTCGTACGAATGGAATAAAATTGTATACTGATCTATGCTTTCTACCCGTTACAGGAAATGATGCAAATGAATTTACCTGGTTTCATTAAGAAAGTTCAATCCGTACCCACAGACGTAGAGAAAAAGGAAGATGCGGAAAGTAATCCAGGCCCAAGTTCTCAAGACAGTGGAGTAAAGAGCATCGGTATTGACACAGAATCTGTAAAAGTAAACGCAGAGGAACTGTCAAATAATACAAAGACACAAAATAATAAGCCCGTAGATGACGCGAGGATGTGTAAAATCTGTTATAACGGGGAATTAGGAGTAGTATTTTTACCCTGTGGACATATAGTTGCTTGTGTTAAATGTGCTCCTGGTATGACGACTTGTGCAGTATGCAGAGAGCCTGTTACTATGACTGTACGAGCCTTCTTCTCATAGTATTTCATACCTTGTGATAGACAATGATTAAATTCTACATATGATTTTAATTAAAATGTTTTATACTCGGTCATCCACGACTGGTAGCGATAATCCATCGCGAACTGCACTAAATGACATGACTCATGTAGCATACCAGTCTGCGGGTACAAGCTATAAAGGATCCTATAAATTTCTCAAGACTTTGTGCGATGTTTAAATCACAAGTATATGAAGGATGTAAACAAAATTTATTCTGATATGCAACTGACACACAGAAATATATTTCGTAATTGCAACAAGGTCAATGAATTCCCTTCGTGTTCGAAAATTTATCCGCGCGCGATCAGTATTACAATAAATGATATAAATATATTTAAGTAATCTTACAAATGCCCAACATATCATGAGTGAAGAAGAGAAATACTTGCTAATCACTGGTCTTCAAATAAGATTTTCAGATTAATTTTGTCTGAATAATAAGAAGCTGTACCTGCAACTGAATGTTGCTATTTGCACATTCATAAATTTTCGTTGTCCGTATCATTGGATTAATTAGGAAGGCAACAAAAGTAAAATGTGCTTCACGCAAAAGTACAAATAGCAACAAAAAAAACATGAAGTCTAGTCATTAGTATTATATAATGCCGAAAAAATGAGCAAAGATTTACAATTGTTAGTTATAGAAATTTAATGAGAAAATATTAAATTTTAATTTTATTAAAATCCTAATGAAATTAAAATATTAAATTTTAATTTTATTAAAATCCTAATGAAATTAAAATATTAAATTTTAATTTTATTAAAATGCTAATGAAATTAACGTCTACTTCTTCGTCGTTTGCCCCAGTTTAGTTTTGTCCAATATTGTCAACTTGTGTATCACGTAAGATACGCAGGATTAAACATCTAAGTTGCTACGTTCGAACATAATTATTCGACTTAACTAAACTAGGGTGTTGTAATGTTTATATATACGGGGTGTTCGGCCATGGGAAAAATTTTAATGGCGGATTCTAGAGGCCAAAATAAGACGAAAATCAAGAATACCAATTTGTCGATGGAGGCTTTGTTAAAAAGTTATTAACGTTTATAGTTGCGCTTGTGAGACGAAAACCGTGCGCGCTGCACACTTTAACTTTAAACGTTAATAACTTTTTAACGAAGCCTCCATCAACAAATTGGTATTCTTGATTTTCGTCTTATTTTGGTCTCTAGAATCCCCTATTAAAATTTTTCCCAGGATTGACCGAACACCCTGTATGTATATTATATATATATATATATATATACGCAGTGGAAACTTTTAGCACTTTTATGATTTGCAAAATTTGGTGATATTACGAAACAGGTTTGTATATTGTGTACACAACTATAATTAAAAGTAGGAAAATGTTATCCATTTAATAGGTACAGAAAATAAAAGGAAACAATAGGCCATTCACGTTCAATCGATGCGCTGGAATTTTTCTGGCGCCTGCTTTTGGCTATGATTAACATTATTGTATATTACTTCAATGAAAAATGGGATACGTTAATTGCTTTTCCTTTTTTTTTTTCTTAATTTTAGTTATACGATACAATGCAACTTAAGTCGAACGTATTAGACAAGTAATCTTGAATGCAAATTTCATTTCAATGATTTTAGAATCGAACGCTTAGTTCTATTATTCGATCATGTACATTTAACACAAAATTCTAATCTATCCGATACGAAATTATTTTATGTTCTTGGCAAATCTTCGTACGCATAAAAAAAAAAATTTACTTTCAACGTGTATTCTGACTGAAAAATATTTAACATATATAATATACAATCATAAGAAGTACTTGCTGTAGGGTTGAAGGGTTTTAGAAGCTAATAAAGTAGGATGTAGCCCATTACGATTTTGCCTTTTTGCCAGTTACTATATTTATGAATGATTCATACATTGCGTTAATTTGTCTGTTGTTAAATTGTCTGAATCGTAGGAGCAAAATGTGAAGTTCGTAAAAATTGTATATGTTATTCTTTATGCAATGAATTTTCTCTTGTAATCGTTACAGTTACTTTCGAACAGATTGAGCTTTAAAAAAAAAAAACGTTTTTCGCAAAGAAATTATTTCGTTATTTAAGATCGCAATTAATAATGACGAGTACAAACAACTTTATCAATGTTTTCAAAATTTTTTAGGAAATATTACGTATTCGAGTAGATTCACGCTAAAAATGAAGCGAAATATTAGGTAGGTAGTATATATTTGTTTATACCATAAAAATCATTAATCATGTAGAATTACTAAATTTTATGTAATATTATATTGTACTTGAAATCATTCGCACATTTTCATTATTAGTTTTTATTTATCGCCAATGTCTTGTATATTTTAAATTACATTGTCAATACACATAAATTTTATCTGACATTTTACTTGTTCGTTCTTTAATACAGAATTACCAAAATATATTTATACGGACGTATGCACGACCGTACACTTCATGCATTCGTGCATGTAAGTTCAAATAAATCATTTTTACTTTTGATCAGTACCATTCTTCCACGAGAAGAGGGCACAGCGTGTTTACATCCCCACTCCTGGTGCAGTCCGCTGACTCACAGGCATTGGTCGAAAACTGTGACGAAGATCTGTGACAGCCAATCAGCGGACTGCAGCAAGAGTGGGGATGTAAACAAGCTGTGCCTTCTTCTCGTGGAAGGACGATAGAATCATCGTAATACGGTCTTCCTTTTTAAGTTGTTGCAAGTTTAATACTGAACTGAAACAACCTAACAAGGAGACAGATGAAATCTAATCATTACCTTATCGATTTCATCGATCTTATATATGTTAGAAAGAAAAATAAGATCGAGTGAGAAACATTAAGAGATGAAGAGTATAACTTTCTGGTAACCTAGTAACAAACATGATTCCAAAAAAAAAACGCTTTATTTCAAATTTTTTCAGTGGTCTTACCCCTTAAGCTAATATTTAACTAAATGAGGTGTCCGCTAATAAAATGTTGGAATTCCCAACAGGCCCCTTACATGCACCCCTTTTTTGCGCTAAAGATGCATAACAGGTAGCTGTGACGTCAGCGTACGCATGCGCAGAAAGGAACCCCACGAGAGTCCATCACTGCGCCCTAGTTACACGCGCTCGTTGCAACCAGCGCGACGGTGGCGCCACCATGAACAACCCTAGAAATCCCCACATGTACTGTAATGGCGTATGATTATTACAGTATAAATGGCGACTGCTGGTTCGGTGCGATGATAATGTATGATAGCAAAGTCGAACGTGACCGTTGTAAAAATCTTAAATCTGTGAAAGCTTTGCTACTATCCCCGTGTTTGGTTTTTTATTTATGCAAATGAACGAACAGTAACATGGGTGACTTGTTCGATATCGCAAATTTAATCACCACTGTCGGTGTTGATAGAATAAAAATTAAGCCGGAACCCGGACTGCCCGAGAAATCGTCGAACGAAATACTGACAGAGTTATTTAGCACGTTTGACGCCGAGGAGGGAATAGCATCGCCGGAGAACACCGATCAACAGGTCCCAAATGCCAATATCAAAGTCGAGAAACTTAAGAAGTCTCAGATAAAAAAGAAAAAGGCCAAGAAAAAGCACAAGCACAAGGATAAAAAGCATAAAAAGAAATCGAGACGCAATTCTTCCGAAAGTAACAGCGACCCTGAAAGCAATAGTAAGATATTATAAATAATTAGAAATCTATGTAGTCTGTATTATTAAATGCTTGAAATATAATCTTTTGTAACGAACAGATGTTAAAAAGAAGAAGAAGCATAAAAAGAAGACTAAACGGAAGCACGAAAATGAGTCGAGCAGATCATCGGATTCGGACGAGCCCAAGAATAAAATATCGAAGGTCAATAGTTCTAGTAGCATTGTAAAAAGGAAAGGCTATAGCAAAGATAACGGATTGAAAAAGAAAGATACGGCCGTGTCGACAAATTTCGAAGAAGTCTTGTTAATTAAGAAGGAACCGGGATCGGAAAGTACTTTTGTAAAAAGCTCGGAGAGCCCTCAATTGCCTCCTATTTCAAAAAAAATTCAAGAGGATCCAGAAGAGCCGTTGATACCTAAAATTCTTGGTTTGTATAATTCGTTTAATAATTTTACGTCAAGAGTGATAATTTTGAAGTATATATTTGACGAAGACCATTTTTGTTCTATTTGTTGCTTTAATTTCTGGAAATTAATTGTCATTCCCACTTTAGAACGCGTTAATGAGTATGTAACGATGTTTTTCTATGCGTAGACAAATCAAAGCAAGCAATTCAAGGGAAAATTTTGATAAAAGATCTCAAGAACAGTACAGTTTATAACAACACGGTGAAGGAAATAGAGAACAAGGTGAAGGAGAAAGCAGCACGGATGGAAGATGGTGAAATATCCGATAGTAGTACAGACAACAGGACACCAACGTTGAGTCCTAGCCCGTTACAATACACTTCGCTTAGGTCGCCAACGTTGAGTCCAACTTTGGATAAAGGGGAGAACAGGGTACTGAGTCCTACGAAAGGGGGAATAACCGCTAGAAACGATTTGAGATTGATACTAAGAGAAAAGGAGAAAAAGAGACTGGAAGGTATGGATAAAAGATCAGACGATATAGAAAAGTCAAAGTTGTATATGGATAGCGAGTACAAAGATAAGGTACATAATCATAACCAAAACTCTACGACAGGTAAAGACAGTAAACGTAATCACAATTGCCAATCGCAAGAGAAGAGGAGATCCGAATCTCGAACGCGTTCAGACTCGCATAGAAGCCGTAGTAGAGGCAGAGACAAACGAAGAGACAAAAGCAGAGACAGGCACGATAAAAGTCGCAGCAACGATAGGAGAGAGTCCGCGAAAAGCAGAGAAAGGAGAAGACACAGAAGCCGTAGCGACGATAGGAGCAGAGATAAATATACGAGGGGACGGAGCAGAAGCAGAGAACGGAAGTTAGTATTCTTTTATCACTATACAGGGAATTTGGCCTCTAGAATCCTCCATTAAAATTTCCCCCAGGATTGGCCGAACACCCTGTATGTAACTACTACTGTATTTATAAGTATTTAATTTCTATATTTTATAAGGGAAAGAATAGAAATTGATAAGAAGAAATTATTAGAAATTGCTAGAAGGAATGCAATAAATATGATCAAACAAGGAACACTACCATTGGCGCAACAAGACAAAGCTATCGCTGCGATACAAGCTGGTGGAAAGACAGTGGACGAACTCACAGGTAACTATACGGTTATACAACTGATGTACGCGATTATACAAAACATTTCTTTGTTTCAGATTTTTGTAAATCACTATCGAAGTCTGAGGCATTAGGTGAACTTTCCAGTATCTCATCGGACGAGGACGGAAGCGAGTCAGAGAAAGGCTTTCACCATCCCTTTTTGCTCAAAGGACGACCTAGTTCTATCATCATGAATATTCGGGTGAGTTCGCTACATTTAATGAGATAATTAATAATGTAATTGTCGATTGTACTATTGTCTTTAGGACGCGAAACAATTACCGACGAAAACATTCCAAGAAAAGACAGTAGAATCATCGAATCAACTGCGTTTACAATTCCCTGTATCGAGTGGCCAGCATCACAGAAAGAGCGGTAAAATTCCTCATTTACGGATGTTTGAAACTAAATTTTTACTTATTCACAGTTACTCATTTTCTACAGAGAACGAATGGGTACCGGTAACGCCAAAAAAAGTAGAACCAAAGAAACCGATTGTGCCAGCTTCTACGTCAAGCGAACCTCCCGCTGTGATACCCCCGGCTGCACCTGTACAACCGATACAACCAACGACTATTTTCTCCCAGTCGGTAACAACGGAGGTACGAAAACGTAGTGATACTTTTCAGTTTGTTCGAAAGTATATATATGTATTTATACGTGTGTACAATTACAGCTAATAGATATTGGTTCTATAGTATCGCAACGATTGGCTGCGATGAGAAAGTTGAGAGAGAATCCAAACGATGTGTGCGCGCAGAACGAAATGTATCGCGCGCAAAATGAGGTAATATACCGTGATTAAAAGTATCTTTAGCGTTCCACGTTATTATTTTACACGTTACAGATGAAGACGTGGGCTGAAAGCAAACAGATGCCAGGTCAGTTTACTGGCAGCACCGGAGCCAAAGTGCTCTCACCGGCAGAACTTACATCAGGTTATCAGGCCTGGGCTCGTAAGGTAACAGTATTATTTGCAGTCTGATTGTCTCGTTGTCCTTCATTCCACATTTATTTTTCTATTGAAACTTACGATAGTGCCTTCTTGATCTAATTATATATTTACGTGTCAAATAATTGACCAAATTTTGTTTGAGATGCGAGCACACGTGTTAACGCGCATGCGCTCGCATTTACATCACAGTTTTTTTTTTTCTCTTTTTGCTTCTTCCTTTCTCCTGTTTTAACAATGCATTGCCTGATACTGATATTGCCTGTAACAAGTTTTCAGGTACAGTCTATCGAGATCGATCATGTTGATCCGATAGGTACTGTGGTGTAGGCACAGACTATTTCTTACATAGAGGTAGATTCTGTGCCTGCACGGACACAGGAGCACCATTATTTTATACACGCTCGATTATTAATTGAATAATTAACAATTGATACGATAAATTCGAGAGTAACAAATACGAGGCGCGTCGGTGAATGAAAATAAGAAATCGTTTAAGAACAGCGACTGCACGAAGTTCATTCATATAATGGGCTCTTGTGAGATTATTGCTAATTATCATCAGCTTCCTATCATAGGATTTCATCAGGCGTTACACTGTATCTTACTGTCGTAAAGCTGGGATATTTAGCATTAGTCTGCATCCACCTGAGGGTTTGTTACAGGCACGTAGCTACATCAGAGAAGAAACAACTTCAGCGGCGTGATGTCGAATTTATGATTTCTTCGGTAAGTATTCTCACCCAAAAAATATTAGAATTTTATACAATCGATTATACATTGAATTATCACGAGCGTAAAGTAACGGAGAATTCTTTTTATATATTACCGTCATTTTTATATCTATAATTCGATTCACGTTGCAACATTAATTACATCTTGATCTAACGAACTATTTAGGATCAATTAGTATCGGCGCAACCTGTTTCGGGTGGGATGGGTATGGCTTTACTGCAGAAGATGGGTTGGCGGCCAGGGGAGGGTTTGGGAAAAAATAAAGAAGGTACTCTTGAGCCGTTGCAGCTCGAAGTGAAATTGGATAAAAGAGGCCTGGTGTCGGAACAAGACATTGGACAGAAAATAGGAAAAACTGCGAAGCCATTGGTACCCGCTATCAAAACTTTGGAAGGTACATTGTCCCGTGCTTCCACGAGAAGAATGCACAGCGTATACTACATCGTTTCTCGATTCCCTAATTTATAGAAATACAATACGAGGAAATAAAAATTTAATTACAGGAAAACATCCAGTGTCGTTGTTAGGCGAATATTGTTCGAAGCGAAAACTTGGTGCACCCGTTTATGAATTGTGTTTCGAATGTGGACCAGATCATAGAAAGAATTTCCTTTTCAAGGTTTGTGGCGCTCTATATCCTTCTCATTGCTGAATTTAACGTATCGTTTACATTTAATATTGCGTTTCAGGTTAAAGTGAATGGAACTGAATATAAACCGAGCGTAGCAAGTCCTAATAAAAAACAAGCCAAAGCGGAAGCGGCACAGATTTGCCTGCAGACTTTAGGATTGTTACCTGATCCCATTTCTATGCTTGTTACGAAACTTTGAAGTTGCCACTGTATTTCAATTAACGAAATTTTAATATTAATTCTCGGCGAATTAAAGAAACTGTAAAGCAATGTATACAATTTTTTAGATTTAAAGAACGTAACTTATTCCTTTTTCATCCTATTATGTATATAATAAAATGACGACAGGAGAATTTAATATTTCAACGTATTGCATTTTTATTTTTAAAATTATTATCGTTACTTTCGATCTATGTACTGGTATATACCTATAATGAAAACGTGCCTTTAGAAACTCGCTAATACTTTATTAGTACGTAGTTGATTTGAAGAGACTGTTTAAAAATTAATAAAGATCACTGCCATGTTGAGTGTTAGTGCATCAATTTCATACAACTATGGATACAACTTCATCGAGCAGACATTTTGATTCGTGACTTTCTCTTAGAATGGCAAGAATCAATTTTGTCGAATGAACTATGTACGCACAGTACAATATGTAATGTTCTTCTCTAAACAACTACGTTTATTAAAATTAATCTATTTATGCTATAATACTTTTATAAGTAATGAGAATTTGTCTGATGAGTTGTCTGGCTACGTCCTGGCTCAGGATTTTTATGAATTTTTATGAGTTGTGTGAGGTTAGTTTTTAATTTTTCCTCTTTCGATATCACGCAGCACAATATTTGCACAATTTAAATGGAATATCACTTTAAGCAGTTATAACAAAATGTAAAATACACAATAAATTGTACACCATTGCATCATCGTATGAATACAATAAATAAAAAATAATTGTTCATTCTATTTTCAACGTACATTCGTTAGGAACCTTTTACTGTGGCGGTCCAGTGACTATGCTTGGCTATCAGTGTTAAGTTCATTCCATTTTCTTCGTTCGTAGGGTTAGGTCCTCGCAGAAGTTTTATCCTCGTTGGCGTTGCTAGGCGAAGATGTGGCGTTACCGGGTTACCCCCTCCCTTTACTCTACCACTAGAAGCTCACTGCTCGTCCCACTCCTCTCCCTAGCACTGCTCAAGACCGAATGGGCAACTATCGCCACGGCGCCACCTGAGCCTGCGCGGTGCAGGCTGCGCCCTGAGCCGTGAACGAGAGTAGAGGGGCGAGCGGTGGTGATCGCGAGTAGTGGGGGAAACCGCGGGATTTTAAACAGTAATCCTGATCCTCACTGGTGATTGGCTGACTTCGCCACCGTTTTCGACCAATACCTGCGAGTCACCGGATCGCAACAGGAGTGGGGACGTAAACACGCTGTGCCTTCTTCTCGCGGAAGCACGGTACATATACAGTTGTATAAACACAAACGAACGCAAGTTTTTTGGGATCCGGCGTCCGTACGTACCGAGAATTATTAGAATGTGTTTGATACCTCTGAATAAAATTTCACTTAATTATTTTCTTTCCTACGCGTATATGCGATTTTTAAAATAAAAGATTACGATTTTCGCGTTGAAGTAGATCGAGGGAAAAGTGGTGTTGTGATCGATGTTAAATTGTTGTCATCGATAGACTGGCATTTTAATTTCTACTGTAATGGACGATGTAGAGGCACCGGTTTTTTATTACGATGAAAGTGATTTTGTGGGATACGAGTATCTGCAGGACGCGGACTATGAATACGAATACGATGATATCGAGAAAGAAACATTCCACGAATTGTACCAGTATTGCCTCGGTCCCACCGTTTACGATACAGCCACATACATACTACCGCTACTTGTTTCTACGATTGTATTTAGATTATGCGCTGGTTCTCGTAAGATGTATTAGATAATATACAAATGTGGTCTGCGAAGTATGAATTCGAATGATTCACATCTATATATTTAATGTTACAGAACATATATCGCATGGCACCTTTCACATATTATCAATGTTGATTGGTATGTACAATATCCATCACTATGTAAAAGAGTGTTTGTTTATACTAATAGCACTATGTACATTTTCATATATCACTTTACACATACCTAAGCGATATTGCAAGAGCGTAGGAATATTTTTGCCACCTCTATGTATTATCGCGTATTGGTAAGTTGCAAAAAACATAGATATCGCTTCTTTCTTTTTTAAATAGAGAGTATCGAATGCGAGTAACTTTTCTACAGCTTTTGATTTTCAGTGAATTTTCTATGCCGCCGATAGTCTGGCACCAAATACGCAGCGTGGTATTAACAATGGCAATGAAAACAATTAGTATAGCTATAGATAAACTTAATTCAAACGATTTACCTAACATTTTTAGTTACATGGGATATACTTTTTGCGGCGTTACATGCCTTTTCGGTCCTTGGATATCGTTCAAGGATTATATTTCGATACGTTGCTTAAACAATCAGGTACGCGAAAGTAGAAATTGTATTTTCTTTCCTACGTACACAGAAAATTAACAAACGTTTCAAATTCCTAGGATAAATGGTGGATAATGTATACAGTTCAATATGCATTTTTATCCTTTCTGTTTTTAACTGTGTCAAACTGTTGGACGCAATGGATGGTGATGGATAATTCTTGGAAGTTAGTAAACGTTCAGTCGAAACTGATTCTCATGTTTTATAGGTATTAAATTTTTCTTTTATCATTTTAGGTGGTTGTTAGCTTATAGGGACGCATTATCTTTTCGAACGTCTCATTATTTTATCTCTTACATTGCATCCACTGTGTTACTACTAGGGGGATTCCCACTTGCGCTAACCGTTATAGTAAAACCACTGAAAGTGGAATTTCCACGGTCGCTTGTGCAAGTCGTTATTTGTTGGAACGTACCGATGCATTTTTGGTTGAAAACCTGTATGTATTTGAATCGTTTAAATATTTATCGATGAACTTTCGTACATAGTGTTTAAATTTTTCTATAAATTTTTTAGATATATTCCGTCCTAGCATTAATTACGTAGGGAAATTTGGAGCTGTGACAATGACGTATTTGACAAGCGCTCTTTTACATGGATTAAATTTTCAATTGGCAGCGGTCCTGCTTAGCCTTGGATTTTATACATACGTAGAGTTCCAGCTCAGATCTATGCTTGCAAATATTTTTGACGCGTGTGTAGCGGCGAAACAGTGCGCTAAAAATAAATGCTCGCACGCGTACAACACTCAGAACTCTTGGTGGGTGTTTCTAACGAACATGATGTTCTCCGGCCTATCAGTTTTTCATTTAGCCTATTTAGGCCTTATGTTCGATACGTCTGAATTACAAGAAACAGGGTACAACTACATTCATACTATCGAGAAATGGTCCCAACTTGGATTCGCTAGTCACTGGGTAATGTTCGTTACATATTGTATATATTTTTTAATTAGATAATACTAGGCATATTAGTTTGCTGGTTACGTTCGATGTCGAATCGATAAATTAACAAAATTACGTAAATTTAACGCATTATTTAAATAAATTTTTAATTACAATTGTATAGTAGCGTTTTTATATATTTTCTACGACTTTTTGTACTGTTTTTTACGAAAATAAAATGAAAGGAAAAAATAGCTTTTAATATATTATACATTCCTGCGGCAACTATCAAAGGAACGAAACGCCAATACTATCGAACAGCTTTGAACAGGAAAAATTGTATAATTTGTAGAATTCTGAAAGTAAGTAAAATACATAGTCTTTATTAGATGTATAACATAACGTATGTTTGCATGTATGTATAAAACATATTAAACAATTAGTATATAATAACTATGAAAAAGTTCATATGCCATGATCGTTAAATAATACTTCATTGTACGCTAAACTTTAACATAATCATAACAGTGAATAAAGTTATATTTTTTTCGATCGAAATGCAATAATTTTGCACGCCGATTCTGATTGCTAGTAAAGCGCAGTAATATACATAATACTATGTAATGTTACAACGTAATGTAGTAATATCTTCTACATTAAATTAAAAAATACAAAAAGTAAAGTATTTTAGAATTGGTCACTTATATTTCAGTTTATAAAATATATGAAAAAATCTTTCTATTATTCAATTGCATATTCAAGGCAAAAATCGAAACATTGCAGGTTTGTACTCAATGTTATTTATAAACTAGATGACAATCAACTAAAATTTCTTTGTGAATATATTTGCCTATATAAATATAAAATTTCTCTAACACGTATTACGAGCGTCTAATTGTTAATGTCTGTGCTATGTTATTTAACAATAATCAATCTTCAATGTTACATGTACATAATTCCTACATTTAAGTTCAACTATATAATTACAAATTATGCACAAAGAATTTTACATATAAAATTCGCAATATTCAATCCGTAAATCAGATTTCCCTCGAAACAGCCAATTTTTAAATTTATTTCGTGATTACAAATACCTTTCAATTAAAAAATTTACTTTCTCCGTAGTCTTAGATTTTAGAACCTAGTATACATTATTTTACATTATTAAAATATCTTCGTTCTTATATATTAATGACACTTTTTATGAAATGCATTAATTTGTTAAAATATTTAATCAATTTTTATGAAGTGATCTTATATAATTACAGGAATATATCGTCCTTCCGCGAGAAGAAGCCACAGCGTGTTTACATCCCCGCTCTTCCTGCAGTCCGCTGATTGGCTGTATCGCAGCACGCTGATTGGCCGACTTCGACGCCGTTTTCGACCAATGCCTGTGAGTCAGCGGACAGCTGGAGATGTAAACACGTTGTGCCCTCGTCTCGTGGAAGAATGCTACATACAGAATGTTTCAAAAATATAGGATACGTCGAACACGTGAAAAGAGATCGAAAAGTCCGACAATATTTTGCAACCTTTGCCTCTAGAATCCTCCATTAAAATTTTTTCCCAGGGTTGGTCGAACCCGTATTTAAAAAACAAAATTACAAATTACAAATTACAAAATAATAAAGGACATTTCAATTTCTCTTTTGTACGTGGATTTCGTACGTTTTCAACTTATCCCACCCTTTTTAAAATACTCTGTACATAAATATAAATATACCACCGCGTATACATAGTACCGAATGATGCGCTTTAATCTATAAATGGATTTATTGCAAAAAGTACAATACATTTATTGTATTGAACGAACTAGACACCCAGCCACTTTAATACGTTTAAATGATATTAATTCAGTTGTTTCCAGCTTAGTCTGGTCTTTGTTAAGTAGATTTTAGTGCTGGTAATTGTCGAATTTTAACGCTTTTTTAAAAATCCTTTAATATCGATACTTTTACTCTTTTTTACACGACGTACCTTCTTAGGTAAATCCATTTATGAATCACAATAGGTTACATTAACAAAAATATTACATTCGTCCGCTTATTACACATTGCTACCAACCTATCTATTAATTTAATTACATATTCTACATCGATAAAAGTTAATGAAACGATAATTGTACATAATTCATACTGTACACTATCATCGTTAGAATGTATTCCAATGACTTTTTTTTTTTTACTATCAACATTATTATAAAGTTTATGCAATGCCTCTTAAGTATTTAAAAAATCGAAAATTCATTAATGTTTCCACAGTAAGCATATTTTTATAAAGTAACTTCACCATACCAAACAGTTCAATATGTACATCGTATATTAAAGCGATTAATGAGTGGGAGAAATTTGTTAGCAAAGTATCGTCCTTCCGCGAGAAGAACGCGCAGCGTGTTTTCATCCCCCCACTCTTGCTGCAGTCCGCTGATTGGCTGACTTAGTCACCGTTCTCGACCAATACCGTGAGTCTAGCGCGAGTGCAACAGGAGCGGGGATGTAAACACGCTGCGCCCTCTTCTCGCGGAAGAATGGTATTTTAAACAATGAAAAACACTATTATGAAACAAAAAATGCTGCAAAAATGTACAAATTCGGCTATACAATATATTGCTTTTGTAGAAGCTGTTACAGTTAACGTTAGAAAGCAGTACCTCTTTCTAGAAAAGTATGGTGTAAAAGTATATATAAATACTTGTAACAGCTTATTTTATTTTATATAACTATACTCAACAGCATTTTTAATAATGAGCTTACAATTCTATTTACATTGTATACAAAGCTATGAAACGAAAATTTATACTTTTAACCGTATCTTCAGATCAGTTGAAAAAATATAAGTTCAGAATTATTTCCGTGAATGTTTAAATGTTATTAAAATTAAATAAAAATTGTCTTCGTTAATCCTCTCCTTTAAAAATTTTTCTAAACATTTTATGATCGTCCAAAGGATAAATGTTTCATGATCATTACGATGATTTTCTTTAATTATATTTTTTTTGATATGTTTGATATCAACGACACTTTAGGATAATAAATATAAACGGATCTGAAGACACGGTTAAAGTCGCAACACGTAATAGCACAGCTAAACCAATTATACAGCCAACTGCTGTTTAGTACTTACACGTAAAATTCATTGTTATTACAATATGATTGCAATTTTTTGATTAATGAACAATTATGCGTAATGTGATTAGCACAATAACAAATTTATACAAAGTTACGTCTATTTGTAAAATCTATATTCATCGTTAAATTGCTATCTCAACTTAAACTTTGAAAATATAGTACAAACACTCTTATAATTTAATAGATGCGTGAGCAAGAGTTATGTTTGTATACGGGGTGTTCGACCATCCGTGGGAAAAATTTTAACGGGGGATTCTAGAGGCCAAAATAAGACGAAAATCAAGAATACCAATTTGTTGATGGAGGCTTCGTTAAAAAGTTATTAACGTTTAAAGTTAAAGTGTGCAGCGTGCACGGTTTTCGTCTCACAAGCGCAACTATAAACGTTAATAACTTTTTAACGAAGCCTCCATCGACAAATTGGTATTCTTGATATTTGTCTTATTTTGGCCTCCAGAATCCCCCATTAAAATTTTTCCCAGGGTTGTCCTAACACACCGCATAGATATTACATTTTGTATGAGAACAAATAAGTTATGTTAATCACATAGGTATAAGTAAGAATGCACATTGGGATTACAAGCTTCTATCCAATTTCCTGTCGAGAGCAAAGCGAATAAAAGTGAATACATTTATTAAAATTATTCGAGAATACTTCCGACAGTGTTTACGTTTTTCTGACCCGCAGAAAGAAAACGTAAGGGCGATCTCGTTTTGCGAATGTTTAACATATTGCAAGAATGTGGGAAATTTTTTTAAAAAAAATCTGTGCCAAGCGCGAGAGACGATTATGAGAAACTTATAACCCAAGGTACGGATACGAACATAAAATAACTACCTTGAAAAAGCTATGACGTCGACTGGCAGATCTATTCGACCTTCGTTGGTTATGATAAAAACTTGGGCAATAGGTGCTCAAGTCGAAGAATTGAAGATCAGTGAGATGGTTTTACTGAATGATCGGATTTAAGCGGTGAGATCTTCGACGCTGGTGAGATGCTCGTGTTACCGGATTGTCCTCCCCAACGCCACTGAGAATATCGGTTAGTCATCTGATAAATGCAGTTTTATAACTTTTAGTCGTGTGCGCACTGCAAGTCACAGAAATAAATGGGAGCAGTTTGTTGGCCACCTCAGGAGCTACTTGATCCCTAAGCTCTAAACGTAGCTTATACAGTTTAGAGGCCTGGACAGTAATCCGATCTGATAAAAAGATATTCAATTTTGTACATTTTCAGAATCGTGCCTAATCTTCTAAATAATACGCATCGAGCTAATTCAGTTGGGTACTATTACGTACAAAATCTCATAAATAAACGATCTTACTCCGTTGTTAATTGTCCAGGCCTAATATCATTTTAAGGGTTACATGCCTTTAATGAAATATGTCTTAGTGCATGCTGCATGCATATTAATGTTATGCGAACAGGAATGTGAGGGCTCTTAGCTTCGTATCGTTCTATTTTATGCATCACGTATTGTGAAATTGCCAGTAAAAAATCTTGTTTCACCGTTGCTCCAATAGAAGGATAGAGGCCAAGTTATACGAGTAATAAAATGCACAAAAAGAGCTTATTTTAGTTAAAACACGAAGCTTTTTAAAACAAAAAGATAAAAAAAAAATTTCCTTCGCAGAAGTCAATTTGTATAAAGAAAGCTGTATAACTGTTACTTAGCAAAATTTGAAGAGTAACAGTTATTGAGACTTACTGCCTTAGAGAATGATAGCGATTTACTCGATCTGCAGACCTTAGAATCATGTTCATGCCTTGCTGCGGTTGCGTGACTGAATGATTTGCAGACGTATTTGTAGTACGGGTCTTTGTGATGCAGGAGGTTCTTATACTGGCCCTTGTCACCGGTTTCGATGCGGATATCGAGGTGACGGGAGTGGTGGTGGTTGTGTTGTTGTTGTTGTTGTTGTTGTTGTTGATATTATTGATCTGTGTTGCTGGTTTAGTAGACTTAACACGACGCGGAGGTGGATCACAGGTACTGTTGACCAGCCAACTGTTTCTATAATTTTTGGTAAAAAAACCGTGATATCCTGTATTTACTATCACAATATGCAACCGTCAGAGCGCGGGCTAAACTTAGCAGTTACGAAGCTGAATTGAACGAATGCTGTTAGAATCGAAGAAAATATTAATATATCGAAAAGGAAAAGCGTGAAAATAAACTACCAAGAAGAGGCGTAATAAACGTAAGCAATTGTTATACAGGGGTGTTCAGCCACCCTTGGAAAAAATTTTAATGGAAGATTCTAGGGGCCAAAATAAAACGAAAATCAACAAATTGGTATTCTTGATTATCGTCTTATTTTGGCCCCTAGAATCTCCCATTAAGAACACCCTGTATAATAAAATCCAATTTACTGACCTTTTAACGATAGTTGTCGCGGTCGATTTAGGCAGAACCCTTTTCGTGGGATCTTTCTCTTTGTTTCCAGTTAATGTATTGATTGTACTTTTCTGATTCCTTGCTTGCAACAGTGGTCTTAAGTAAGGGCTAAAAAACGTAATGTATTGATAATTACACCTTTTTACACACGAGTTAAATCGTATTGATACTTACTGTACGACAGTCGACGGACTAGTGGTTGCATTAAGCGTGTGATTTGTTGGTAAACCTCGCCTTTTGGCTTTAATTTGAATTAATTTGCTGCCTTGAGACAAATTCATATATTTTGTTGCGCTGGTACCAGCAGTGGGAGGAGTATGGTCTTCTAACGTAATTCCATCCACTCTGTGCATTATTCCAGAAACATTATCTTGTACCAAGTGAGGGTCTTTCAGGTTGATCATAAATGCTGTCTTCGGTCTACCAATTATAGAATATATTCCATACTTGTGCACTCGATTTCCGTTTTTCGATTGCAGCGGCTCATGTAGAAAAAAGTGAAGATACCGCTCGTTCCTAAAGAGCACAAATTCATAAGCAACGAATATTTCAATTACAAACTGCTCGATATAACAATTGACATGCATACTTTTCCAACCATTGTTGTTGGTGTCCAATCACCGATCCTGGTCTACATATTCTTATCCACGCGATTGTTTCGTGAGCTGTCAAATGATAATGTTTCATGATGTAACAACCTATCAAAGTACCCGTCCTTCCAAGACCTGCTTTACAATGTACAGCGACAGCGCCCCTCGCGTTCTCCGCTATTTTAAGAAATTGACGCGTAATTGATTCCGTCGGGCATGAACCGTCAACAAAAAACAGATCCTTGTGATCAAACCCTTCGTCTATGAAGCTCGAAGCATCGTACATTTCTTTATTAAGACGTATGATTGTACTAACATCGTTGTGGCGGAAATACGTGAAATACGATTTCGGTGCATGTAGCGGATAACCTACAAACGAGAACAAACGGAAATCATGAATCACGATTTGATCTTTTAAAGAAAAATTTTAATGGGGGATTCTGGAGGCCAAAATAAGACGAAAATCAAGAATACCAATTTGTCGATGGAGGCTTTGTTAAAAAGTTATTAACGTTTATAGTTGCGCTTGTGAGACGAAAACCGTGCGCGCTGCACACTTTAACTTTAAACGTTAATAACTTTTTAACGATGCCTCCATCAACAAATTGGTATTCTTGATTTTCGTCTTATTTTGGCCTCTAGAATCCCCCGTTAAAATTTTTCCCACGGATGTGAAAAATCAAAAACCGACATTTGTAATATATTCGGGTAATTGACATTTTTACTTCATCGAATGATCATTATATACATGCTCAAAATAGTTTTACATGTATGAATTAAGAGAATCGCAGCTATTGTTTTATTAGAATTTCTCAGAATATGACTCATAAAAGATTAAGTATTCATCAATGTCATTCATTGATGTCTTTTTCGACATTCCTAAGGTTTTATGTTTTATATTATTTGATACACGTAAAACTATTTTGAATATATTACTCCTCTGCGAACGAAAACTTAGGAAATATCGATTTATAATTATTTTGTATGCGATACACCTCCACAAAAAATCTAAAAAAATTATATATTTATAACAGTAACAAGCTATTAAAATTGTAACAATACGAACATGGTCGCAACAAAAATTATGGTAAAAATACAAGCAAATGTCGGTTTTTGATTTTTCCAACATCGCTCGCCCATTTCTAAAAATCTGAAAAAATTATAGATTAATAATCATGACAAGACACTAACACTGTAAAAATATAAACGTGGTCATTTAATAATTTCTATTAAAAAAAAATATTTTTATACTTTTAGAATTTTTTCAAAATCCATTTTCCGGTGAAAAATTCTGAAAAAATTCACAAACACGTACGCCGTAGAGCAAGATACCCCCAATTTTTTTCAAAATCTTTTATACAATACAACAAAAGATATACAGCTTAAACTGAAAATTGCGTTACGCCCTGTAACTACCCTCTCAGTAAGGGTACGGGGTTGATATTTCACACAAATGGTTTTCTTTGAATGGTCTATTAACTGATATCTTATCCGGCTATACCCTTACATGGTTCATCTAGAATCTCATTCAGAATTCTAGCTATTCTCTAAAATAAAATAAACAAAGTAGATGCTCACCGTTTTCTATTTTCGATTTAGCGCATGGTCCACAAAACGCGATAAATTTACCAGGAACGATCCAATTCAAATCCCCGTTTTCAACTCTTTCCAAGTATTCGTATTCCTTGACACGAAAATCTTGAAAATTAAAGAATCCAAGTCTGTGGCACTTGTATATGGCACTCAGACATTCGCTCAATGATATTTGGTACCATGGGGTACCAACAGACGCGTCACGGAACATAATAAACGGCGGGCAATTAGGACTACTGGTTAAACAATTATATGCTTCTTCCGCTGTACGTTTACAATATATCACCTAGAAAATACGTCGTTATTAACATTCTCGTATTCAATATTATGCGTATAACAATAAACTTACAGCATAGCTTCCTATAAGGAAAGCAGCGTTAACTCTCTTTTCCGGATTCATAGTTGTATAATGTACAATTTGTTTTCTTCTCAAGGTTACCGCCTTCAGCTTTTTATTAACCTTCTGACAGTAATGGTACAACATGGCAAGGTTCAACGGGCCAAAATCGTCGTAGAAATTTTCATAAACCAGTTCATCGTCGATACTGAAATAATGGGTGTTTGGAGTACTCTTTGGCTTTATCATCGTCCTCAATGTTACAAAATATAATCGATCTGAAAGAAAAGAATGGGTTACACGTTTTTTTTAAATCAATCGAAACACAATCGATGCGAATCAACCCCTCAGCTTACGACGACGACTCAGAGACGTGATGAGTCTACCGAACCAAACCTTGGTGTCGCTTTTGGCACGCACAGTTGGAAATTAAATCGTAAGGCGAGGGGTTAAATTTCATAATTGAGTTTTGTACATGTTTGGACACCTTTACCTTTTATAAATTCTGTTGCGCACACCAGTATGTCGTTTGTATCCTCCATCATTGGTTTCTATTAATTATCTGGTATTGGAAATACCAACGGAACGAACCTGTCATCGGTGCGACCGAACAACAAAGGACACAATTTAATTAGCACGATCGGAGATCATAAGAAATATATAAACACACGGAAGGTTAAGAGTAGGTGTAGCAAAGGTAAACTGGATCCATCTACCAACGCGCGATCACGTTTCTACGTGTCATTTGACGGATACGAATTGAAAATTATGATCACCGCACAGAATCTGTACGATCTGCACTGTGCCGTGGAACGCTTACACTTACCTGGCGCGACCGTTACAAGATTCAAACTTGGTCAATCGAGAGTCAGTGATGGCCGATCGGTTGCGTCGCAGAGCTCTTCCGGTTATATTATACATTCAAATATTCGTGATCGGTTGCATTTTTACAATTTATCGCTATTACTCGGGCATCGTCGATCATGGAAAATATCGTCGAAACGTTTATTTTTTACGTATACCGACATCATTATCCGCCATAGAAACAGAAGGTTTCGTATATACTGCCATGTTGGTTGCCTTCGCAATATTAAACTGATGACGACGTATGAACTCGATGTCTAGAACGACGAACATCGTAGGACGTTCACTGATATTGCGTAAAAAGCCTCAGGCTAAAATGCAGCCGACGTTATGCGTTTCTAGTAGAATTACGTTCCGACGATTTTTATCCGAGCTTTATTTAAAGAAGACTAGACAACGATTATTCCGATAATCCGAAAACAGCGCACTCTACCCAATAAAACGTTTCTACATTTTCCATAATTTAGCATTATTGTTTCTTGAATTTACATTAAATTTAATTTTCTTCGACAATTATTTTCGAACGTTTATCAATATCGTCTCGTATTCGTATGTTATTATCGTTTTCCGTGTTTCTTTGCACATTTAAACGAGAAACTCAGAACAATTTCATATTCGAGAATTTGATCGGATACTTGTTTTCCGATTGTTTGATCATCGTTTGGTAATACATTTATACGTATGTATAACACTGCTTCATGGATAGTACCCGTGCACGTCTCTGTTCCCCTTCAGATACTTTATTGTATTTGTATCGAGCACGTACACGTTACAATATGTATCTACATATGTAGTATCAACGTTTGCTATGCAACAGAGTAGGCTCCCACTCAGCAGAGATGCCAGATTGAGCACCGAGTGCACCTACTCACACTATGACAGATCACGCGCATGTGAGCTCGTAAAGTTTCGGAGAGTCGACAAAGACCGACTGACACGTGCCCTCTCGCTCGAATCTCCGAAGCTGCCCGAAGTGATTTCGGACCGCCTCGTGGGAGTCGAGAGAGAAAGGCTCACAGTTGCCTTCTCGCTCTTGAACAGCTGAAGTGCGACCTCTCGTCGGCGACACGCGATTTGGAATCTCGGACGTGATCGTGTAATGTATAAGATTTAATTTAATTTCTTCTTTTCTAGAGAAGATAGAGAAAAAGTTCTTTTCTTTCAATAATTAAAATACGATCAGGGAGTCTTAAAACGTGTATTTCAAATGTGAGCCTTTCTCTCTCGACCCCCACGAGGCGGTCCGAAATCACTTCGGGCAGCTTCGGAGAATCGAGAAAGAGGACACGTGTCAGTTTGTCTTTGTCGACTTTCCGAAACTTTACGAGCTCACGTACGCGTGATCTGGCATAGTGTGAGAAAGCACCTTCGGTGCACTTCTGGCATCCCCGTCACTCAGTGGAGGCGCCTTATACACAGAACTAGCTTCTAATAAATTGTACCCAGCCATGAATCTACCATAACTGTGTTTACAGGAGGTAAAGCTAGGTGTCGATACGTGAAAACATACGGAATGACGTTCTCGTTCGTAATTAAGTGAAACTCGAGAAAAAGGAAGCAAATAATGGAACGTAAAGAAAATGCTCAAACGAACGTAGCCTCGATGGATACTATGACTTCGGGGGCATTTATATTTTCCGAACCAAACATACTTAGTCCACCGAAAACTATTAATTTCGAGGTTAATTCACAGCAGACATTCGATGGATCCGTTAAGAAAAATGTATTCACTTTTGCTACACCAACGGCAGTGTCGCAGCCAAACGTTCAAGATGCACCGATTTATCAATCGAGCATGTCTGGGAAACAATATAAGCCTAAGATATCAAGACACTCGTATAAACCAGCAGTTAACGTATTTGCCCAGGCACTCAAAGATACTACTATGTTTGAACAATTAAAGAAAAATTCTAGATCGCAAGTCGCTAAAATCAATGCAGAAAATTCTATAACTTGTAAGAACGTGCCTCAATCGTTGCTTACAAAAACAGCGGCGAAAGAATATTTCCAGGTGTTCGGAAATCTGTTGAAAATAACCATTCGTCCTAGGAAACAAATAATAACCGTCAACTACGCTACAAAAAAGGAAGCGAACGTAGCTTACAATAAAAGCGGCGAGTATTTAGGAAAGAAATTTAACGTAGAATGGTCAAAATTATGCGTATCGCCGAAATCTCCTACGAAGAAAAAAGATATGTCGAAACACATTGTATCTAATTTTCTGAAATCACCCGATGACGAAATTAAATCGGAATTGGAAGCTATGATGAGCATGGAATATAATCTGCACAATAATTATAAGGGTAATATCGACGGAAATTTGCTCAAAAGGAGCAAATTACTACAATCGAAAGGTGTGTCAAAGTCTACGAGCAGAGTGGAGAAAACATCCGCGAAATCTGAGAAACTTAAACCGGAGAGTCAAATATCAGATTTATTACCTAATGCAACTTTCGAGGAGCTACAAAATGTAGTACGTCAACCTGCGTATAGTTCCGAAGATAAATACAAAGTGTTAGAAGCGAGAGATCGACTTATGAGAATGAGGCAAACCAAGTCTCACACATTATCAGCGGCCAGATTGATGATTGGCATGTGTCCCGACATGTGTCCTGAAAAAGAACGTTTAATGCGTGAGTCTAATAGGCAGTTAGCAATATACGAACAACTCGAAAGCAGTGAATATAAAATAAATCATGCGATAGCAGTAAAACAGTATTCTAGATCTTCCGCAGATCAGGAAGAACCGATGGCGCATGAACTGAGACCGGTGAAATCTTTGAAAATGACGATGAGTTATTTGCTTCACGAAATAGCAAATCTTTGCGATCACCAGGGAACAAATTTAGGAGAATGGTATCACTTTTTATGGGATAGAACAAGAGGAATTCGAAAGGATATAACGCAACAAGAATTATGTTGCACCGATAGCGTTGAGCTGGTTGAACAATGCGCTAGATTTCATATAGTATGTTCTGAAAGACTGTGTGCCGAAGAGCCGTCTGTTTTCGACAAAAGAATTAATTCCGATAATTTAACAAAGTCTTTGCAATCATTGAAGTATATGTACAACGATTTAAGAATAAATGGAATTAATTGTAAGAATGAACCTGAATTTCGAGCATATATTATTTTATTGAATTTGAACAATGGCAATTTCATGTGGGATTTGCAAAGACTGCCTAGAAGTATACAAAAGTCGCCGGAAGTTCGATTTGCGTTAGATGTATATTTCGCCCTCGAATCCAACAATTATTACAAATTTTTCAAACTTGTCCGAAAGACCACATATTTGAATGCGTGCATCCTGCTTAGATATTTCAACCAAGTAAGATTAAAGGCTTTATCGGTAATGGTGAAAGCCTATTGCAGAACTACGTCAACAGCATATCCACTGTACGAGTTAATAGATATATTAGGTTTCGAAGACGAGAACGAAGCTGTTTACTTTTGCGAACAAATAGGTTTAGGTGCTTCGAAGGATGAGCTGCATATACTACTAAATCGGCAAAATTTTACTATGCCTGTATTAAATATAAAACAAAATAGAGCTTGTAATGTAATAGAATCTAAAAGAACTATGCGACACTTGTCCATTGGAGAATGTATAGCAGCGTGTAAGATGCCAGAACAGACTTATAAATACCATAAACCGCACAACAGTTTCGATTCGAATGGCTATTTAACACCTGAATCTATCAATGCGGAAGATCAGAGTAAAAATGTTGTTAGCGAATTGGACGACCCATACGAATATATAGACGAAGATACAGTGCAGACTAAGGAATCGATACCAACACCTGAAAAAGATCAGAATAAAACTGAAACTACAGTTACTTCTGTGCCTACGAATGCATTTAAATCGGTTACTGATACTGAATTTGGTGCGAATGCCTTTATACCTATGAAATCTGATACGAATGTTTCTTTTACCTCTAAGCCTCCGATAATTGCCACGCAATCAAAATTAGACAAACAGAAAGATGCAAAGGCGTTTAGTTTTGCATCTAAACAACAAGATATCGTACCAAATGTAAATAAGACCATCGAATCTTCCACTTCGTGCAGTGTGTTCGATACTACGTCTACATCTACAAACGCCTCTAATATATTCTCTAAGCCATTTGAATCGCCACAGTACAATGCTGTTGCTTCGCCATTTGCATCGGCTATGAACAAGAGCATATTTTCTGGGGCTGCGCAAGGAAATATATTTATGAGAAATGTTACACCCTCCGCAATATTTTCTAATACGTACTCGAACGTGCAACCTGTTTCAAAATCATCGAATGCCACAAATACTGCAACTATTACGAGCAACAATACGATAAAAGAAATACCAAGTTCCTTCGCTCGTGTGGAACAAGCACAAACTGAAACTCCGAAAGAAGTGAAACCTGAGAAATTAAAATCGGAGGAAGAGGAGTCTGCTATGAAAATGCAACAAATTGACGAGACTGCGAAACAAATCTCGAATACCTTGCAAACAGAAATTGTACAAGAGTATTGCTCCAATTTAGTAAAAGAGGAAATTAATAGAATGAATGTTTATAACACGTTATGCAAGGACGTCAGTACTCAGATTTTAAATACGGTTACTCACGACGTATGTAATAATATTTTGCGAGAAGAGATTGTTAATTCGCAAAAATTGCACGAGATGTCAATGAGAATCAAAAATAGAACAATTATAAAGTATTTCAATATATGGAAGTGTAATACGTTGAAAAAAAAGCAACAAAGAAAAGCATTGGATGGGACACCGGTGTGGTTGCAGAAACGCTCCAGCAGGCAATGTGCAAAATTATTGTATTCCAAAGAACAAGATTTAGTTATTAAAAATATGTGTAAAAGGCAAGAAGAACAAAAATGTACCAAATCGTATATCGATTCTTTGGCGCCGATTGAAGTTTTAATTTCAATGGGGATTAGAGAAAATATGAAATCTTCGCGCGTAAATATGCATTCGAATTATTACTGGAAATTAGTTGTTTCTTGGCCAGATTTACATAACAAACCAATATTATGGCATCATAAAAAAATAATGAATCAGTATCTTTGCCCTGATGATTACACCGCAGAGCCTATTATAAAACTGTATCAATCGACTCGAGCTGAAGCTTTACATATTTGTATCAGACACTTCGAAGGTCTGATCAGCGAACATAATTTAATAGGATCGGATGCCCTTCTGTTCATAGCAGCTGCTTCCGAGGATACCAAAATTGTAATAAAACGTTTAACCAAAACTATATTGTCGAGAGATAGACTTATGCCTATACCTCTCGTATTCATTGTCTTGGGCGATGTAAATTTCGAAACTCAAAACAAGATGGCTGTTTCCAGCTTGGAAGAACTGTTAAAAGCAGGATACTTATCAACATACACGATTATGTACGAGAAGGATTTAACAGAGAAAACGATCTTAAATTTAACGCAAAGTGCAATGCTATGGTTATCCATAAATAAATCGCCTCAAAATCCATTAGAGATGGATTACTTGCAAAACATTTACGATACTTGCTTAACAGAAGAATTGTGGCTGAGGTATAGTGATCAATGCTATTTCGTTTTTTGTTAAAAATTTATCAACGTTTATAGAAGCTTGTTTTTACAGGATATTAGGCGATTCGCCCTTCAATGAGAAATTATCACACGCTTTGAAGGAGCCAAAATTCATAATTGATTTGCATAACGAAGCAGTCGCTCATCTTATAGACATAATATTGGATCCGGAATCGTTCATGTATACAAAATTTGCTCCAGAGTTTAAAAACTACATCAGTAACCAGTACATGATGCCCTGTAGCTACGAGTATTTTGACGATACTTGGAAAAGGGAGGACTACAAGGCAAAATTGGAAACAGTGATGTCTAGTTTTAAATTGCCCCAATGGAAGTAAGTAATCTTTGTATACCTTTTTGTTTTCTTTAGATTAATTATGTACATGTTACCGTGAATGACCGAAATTGGAGAATGTCAACAGATACCAAATACGTCGGTGAAAGATCGAATATTTCATTACATTGTTGTACATTCGGACCCTCTCCGGTGTGTGTCGACAATCACAGATATGCTCTGCTGGAGGTCTAAAACAGAAGAGTCAAAAAACAAGCGACTGGCTCTCTCCTGCCAAATCCTTTGTTCTGCTCGGAGTCAATCAGCTTTGTCAGTCTTATGCAAGCTTTGATAACGCGAGCAACGTTTTCTTAATTTTTTTCCTGATACCCTAATTTATACTAAATGGATACTGCAGTAAATCGTGATCTTTTTCTAACCCAGACCTAACCCAGACCTAACCCAGACTTAATTCAGACCTAACCCAGACCTAACCCAGACTTAATTCAGACCTAACCCAGACCTAACCCAGACTTAATTCAGACTTATTCCAGACCTAACCCAGACCTAACCCAGACTTAATTCAGACTTATTCCAGACCTAACCCCCGTTATCAGCGATGAATTGGTCTGGGTTAGGTCTGGAATAAGTCTGAATTAAGTCTGGGTTAGGTCTGGATTAGGTCTGAATTAAGTCTGGGTTAGGTCTGGGTTAGGTCTGGAATAAGTCTAAATTAAGTCTGGGTTAGGTCTGGGTTAGGTCTGGGTTAGGTCTGAATTAAGTCTGGGTTAGGTCTGGGTTAGGTCTGAATTAAGTCTGGGTTAGGTCTGGGTTAGGTCTGGGTTAGGTCTGGAATAAGTCTGGGTTAGGTCTGGGTTAGGTCTGAATTAAGTCTGGGTTAGGTCTGGGTTAGGTCTGGGTTAGGTCTGGGTTAAGTCTGAATTAAGTCTGGGTTAGGTCTGGGTTAGGTCTGGGTTAGGTCTGGGTTAGGTCTGGAATAAGTCTGAATTAAGTCTGGGTTAGGTCTGGGTTAGGTCTGAATTAAGTCTGGGTTAGGTCTGGGTTAGGTCTGGGTTAGGTCTGGGTTAGATCTGGGTTAGATCCTTTCAGAAAGAGAGGCGAAAAAGTTACGTCACCCTTGTGACGTTTTATAGCGACTGAATTACGGAGAAGAAAATATAATTCTCCAACATGTTCAACACTCACCATTAGTGAATGTCAACATTTACCGGTGTAAGTCAGAAATAAGGGTGTTTAGCAAATATTTCGGACATACACTAAGCGACTATGTGAATGTTGACATTCACCGGTGAAAGTCGACATTCTCCAGATTTCGGTGTTTCACTGTAACATACAGATATGGTATTGTAGCGTCGCCTCCCACGCTCGCCACCAGAGGTCGCGCTCTCACAAGCGTTCGACCGACCCCTCAATTACAATTAATCTGTATAATTAATTTAAATATATTTCTATTTTAGATATCCATGGCCAATAAATGACAGCAGCGCATTTAGTGAGAGTATAACAGATTACTGTCAAGAAGCATTATCCAGTACCGACAGTAATGAAATATCCTACAATATATTAAGCCACTTATTTTTTACATCTGGTATTTCAACTGCATCGAACTTCATCGACGTCCTCTTATATATCGTGAAGAGAAAGATATTTCTTCTCGACGAGAATTTGAAAGTGGTTTATAATAAGAATCACATAAAACACTTTCAAACTTTACCATGGTGGTTGAAATCTAACCTATTAAACGAATATAAAATTGTACAGAGAGCAGTTAATATTCAAGAGTACGAGCAGGAAAACGAGAAAGGGATCGGCGCTAGTGAACCTATTGTAAAGAAACGAAAAGTATATAAAGTCCGAGAAAATGACTTTGTTCTCGAACCTTTAGCCGAATTTTGTGAAAATAGTCAAAGCCAAGTAATGGAGGTGCATTATATTTCCAAAAAGATTGAAGACTGTTTAGAGATACAACGGCAGCGAAGTTCTTTTTTCGAAGAAAAATTGAAGAATGCTTTGCTCTGCGAAGGCAAACTTAATGACTTGGAAATGTAACATTTATTTTCGCCCTGTTGACATGTTCATAGTGCCTCAAAGACTATTGTATCTTACAGAAATCTTAGAGTACGATATTACATGATTTAAGTAACAAGAACACAATTTTTTAGTATAAAGACTTTTAAATCACAAGACTTCCTTAAGTAGGATGTACAAAATAGGATTTTAACCTGTAATATTTATTATACATTCAGAAATCATGTTACGTTTATAATGCATTTTGTCTATAGAGTTCCATTCGCTGTGTTAATGCCAGAATATATGTATATAAACAAATTAAAGTGTTCTGATTTCAATCCATTTCTTGGACATTTGAATTCTAGAGGCAAAAATAAGACGAAAATCAAGAATATCAATTTTTTAATGAAGCCTCCATCAACAAATTGGTATTCTTGACTTTCGTCTTATTTTTGCCTCTAAAATCTCCCATTAAAATAAAATATGAAAAATATTGGTTGCATAGAACCTTTCGATTGGTGGAATGACATTAGTGACTTTCAATTGATTAAAAATCAGTCAGTATTATTCTATGTACAGAAAATTATACAAATTTGAAAATATTTGTTTGAATATGACAATTCAAAAAAAAAAATAATAAAAAAAATAAAACAAATCGTGACCTGCATTACATATTTCTCCTTATATAGTCTTCATTTTGGCGCACTCACAACTATTAACGATTCCAAAATGAACCATTAATAACCTAAAACGAATGTTTAAAATAATCAAGCTAAAAGTAAGCGCGTGGGCATTAAAATCGAAAACATTCATACTATTTTATAACTGGTATATAATTTACGTTCTTTCTTAATGTTTCGTTGAATTTGAAAACGCGCCTGTATTCATACGACGCCCCCTACAGGGGAACTAATGTACAAAGACCTTTAAATTTTAACGGACTTTTTAAACGTCGAGTATTCCGTTCGTTCCAAGCAAGTTAAATTTTGCGAACAAAGAATTTGATATTTCTGAGTGAAAAATTATAATATCTTTCGATAATTAAGTACTTCGACGTTCTATCTTATTTTCTAAAGTTATATCTGTCACTTAACCGAATCGGAATAAGAGTAAGTAAATTAAATTGCTCGAAATGCGTTAACACTATCAAATCTGCTCATTAAAATTTTCATTTGGTTTTAGCATCACTAGACCCTTGTATTCATTAACTCAGATTATTATTTTTAATCTTTAAATTGCACATTTCGATAATGTCTCATCTGAAATATATGAAAGAAATAAACAGTTTGACTCGCATGGACGAAGCTATTAAAGGACCACTTCCACGCTGGCAGAAGAAATGTTTGGAATCGTCGAATTCCAGGTATTATTTAATCATTTCATTTTCATCAAAATATTTTGTTAAACGTTATATTTGTTTGTTTGTCCAGCGTAAATCTTAGTATTAATTCGTCGCGAAAAATTGCAAATGTATCGTGCGTAAGTTCAACTACAGGAAAAACACCAACCAAAAAGAATGACACTCGAACTAAAAAAACACCTTCCAAGGGTTCCAGGAAATCACCAAGTACGATACTAATTTTATAATGTCATTTGGGGTAATCAATTTCTAAATGAAAATAATTTTAGGCCGTGCCTCGTCTACGCCTGCTAAAACACCCAGCGGTGGCGATAGGTTCATTCCTTCAAGATCGACGACTAATTTTGATCTCGGTTATTACAAGGTATATATTTCATATTATCTGGGATATTGCCTCGATACACCAGAATTATTATTACGTTTAGATTCAGCAACAAGCGAACGCAGACAAAGACGAGGAAAAAATGGACAACGTAAGTCCCTCTAAGAAAGAAATGCAGCGTCTTATGGGAGAAAATTTATATGGCGGTGATATCAAGAACATAAGGGTTTTATCTTATCAAAACAAAGCACCTGCCCCTCCGGAAGGTTACCTGAATCCATTAAGAGTTATGTACAGTCAAAGTAAAACACCGGCAAGCGTGAAAGCTAGTACAAGATATATACCGCAAACTCCCGATAGAATATTGGACGCCCCAGAAATTATCGATGACTATTGTAAGAATATTTAACATTTAGAATGCCTAGGAGATCTTACTGAACATTAAGGATGATCGATACTTGTTTCAGATCTGAACCTGATCGATTGGTCGGAGAGTAATATTTTAGCCGTAGCATTAGGCGCTAGTGTTTATTTATGGAATGCCGCGTCAGGAACTATAGAACAATTATTCGAAGTAGAGGGCAATGACTATGTTTGCTCCGTCGCGTGGATTCAAGAAGGTCCATATTTAGCTGTAGGCACCACAACGGGGAACACAGAATTGTGGGATTGTTGCCAAACGAAAAGAGTACGCGTAATGAACGGCCATGCAGCCAGAGTGGGATCTCTTTCTTGGAATTCACATATTTTATCAAGTGGATGCAGGTGAAAATACATAATAAATATAAATTTAACTGAGTATACTCGTCAATCACAGCTAACTGGTCAATACATATCGCCAAAAGAATTTCATCACGTTGATTTTATTTCTACTTTTAGAGCTGGGCAAATAGTGCACCACGACGTTAGGCAAAGGGATCATTTGATATCTACGATAAACGCACACGCTCAAGAAGTGTGTGGTTTGAAATGGTCGCCCGACGGGAAATATTTAGCGAGCGGCGGTAACGATAATATGCTTCAAATATGGCCGTCGATTTCTGGGCAGAATCATACACATATACAACCGATCTATTCGTTAAATCAGCATCAAGCTGCTGTTAAAGCTCTCGCATGGTGCCCCTGGCAAAATAACATTCTCGCGAGCGGCGGTGGTACTGCCGACAGAACAATCCGATTTTGGAATTGCAATACAGGTAAACAAAAATTGTGTAGAAACAAACAAAAAAAAAAAAGAAACCAATTTAAATATTTTTTCTTAACGTACAGGAGCCTGCTTAAATACGATAGATACCAAGTCACAAGTGTGTTCTTTACTTTGGTCCACGACTTACAAAGAGATTGTGTCTGGTCATGGATATGCGCAAAATCAATTAACAATTTGGAAGTACCCAACGATGACAAAGGTCGCCGAACTTACGGGTCACTCTAGTCGCGTTCTGCATTTAGCAATGTCCCCGGACGGAACCACGATACTTAGCGCAGGTGCCGATGAAACTTTAAGACTATGGAAATGTTTCCAGCCCGATCCGCACAAAAAGAAAGAGCCAAGCGAAATGAAATCTGTCCCTTCTAGGCTTAAGCAATCGATCCGATAATGTGTTTATATTAATAGATGAAATAAACCTTTGCATTTACTTATTAAGTGCAAGATATAGTGATCTACATTTTAAGCGATAAAGGCTCGTATTGTAATACTCGATTGATTCGTCCTTTATCAACGTATTCAAAACACTTGGTACCTGGTAGTATTGAGTTATTTTCACGAAAACTCGTACACGTAGTTTGATTTCTATTTTTATATAAGCGATTGTATGCGTAAACGAAATAAACTGTGAGATATTTAAATTTTAATTCATTTTTACTGTATTGTCATGAAAATATTTTATAAATACATTATGATTTCAATAAAAAGAGTAATTCTTTACCAACATCGTCCCACCTGTGTTTTAAGTCTATTGTCTGCTACTATACCTAAGTTCCTTGTACTATATCAAGGTGAAAGGTATTTCAAGCCCCCACCCTTTCCAATTTGTATATTCAGGTATTCAGGTAACATTTGCCTGACCCAACCTTTTTATGGAAGACTGAAGATAAATATTTAACAATCTAAAGTAAATTCTCGAATAATACAGTATTATACATGCTTTCACAATTACTTTAAAAAAACATGGATGAAGCTGGTTCCAAAAACGTATTGTTAAAATTACAATGTAAATACAATGATCAAATCTGCAATGTAGACAATACAAAAGATGATAACGAGCATGATTGGTGGGCAAGTGACAGTGGATCAAGTACTGGATCATATTATTCGGATACAGATAGGTGCTTGGAATTTAAAAAAATTTTTACATATTTCAATTAAATATATTTTCATCGTGTTCAATATTTTACATTGTCACAGTTCTACGGCAGAATGGGAATCAGAAATCAGTCCTAACGGAGAACTGTTTTACATAGAATCTGTAGCAGAAAGCATAACTGACGATCAGTGTTCTTTTAACGAAACGCAACATAATTCCCAACCAGAACTGACTAGACGTCGTAGCACAAGAGCTGGAAAGCTCATGCGACTCATAAGGCGCAAAGAGAGTAAACGTTGGAGCACAAGGAATAAAAAAAGTAATCCCAATGCCGTATCGAACAATATAATCAATTCAGGGAAAGAAGGGAGCGCAACGAAAGAAGTGACATTTAGGGACTTTCAAGTAAATGATTTTATAGTTATTCCGCAAATACTTCTAGTAATAAAACATACTTCGCATAAAAGTATGTGAACATTTTAGGCAGGTGAGATTCGAGAAGTTACGCTCTGGGTTGATCCGGACAGAAGACATAAATTGGGAAGGAGAGCTACGTTATGCGAAGCATATTTTGGAATTACTGCGGGAGTATTTTCAGACAAAACACGAATCATGGTTGCTGGATTTATTCCAGACGGAGAAGCGATGAAAAATAAAAACATCAAAATTGGAGATTGGTTGAGAAGTATAAATTCAAACGAAGTAACGTATCAAAATTTGGATCAGATATTGTCTGATATAACTGTTTCAACGAATGTAAGAATTGAATTTGCAGTGTTGTAAAGTTATGAAATAGTTTATTACAGTTAATTTTCATTCTCCACTCAGGTAACGTTAGAACTACAAAGAGTCGCAGGTATAGATGTTACTGCAAAATTGCCTACGTTAAATTCTCCTAAAGTAAATATGATTTTACATAATTGATGTATATGTGATGTAAAATTAAGAAATTTTACAAATGAAAATAATTTATTTCTTTCGCTGTTAGCAATCTTTGTTAGTACAGAGATTAATGAATAAAGAAGAAAGCAAAGATCTAATGCAGTCGTTATTAAATTATCCACTCGGTGTGCTATATCTACGAACGACAGAGCTTTCAGAAATGGGACCAGAATTACAAGGTGTTCTTTATACACTACCTCGGTCAGAAAATAAAAATACGCATTCTATTTTGTGTACAGCAAGAGGAGCTTTTATAACTCTTAATCACTTGTTACCTGGAATAGCAGGTTTACAGCCTACTAGGTATTATTGAATATTTGTACCAATTGTTGATATAATTTTTATAATGTATGCCCAATCGCGTTTTATAGTACAACTTTTATAGTACTACTATACAGATAGCAGACGAGGAAATTCATATTGTGTATACTTCTCAGGATGAGGAATTACTTTTAATAGCATTACCAAAAAAATGGTGAGTAACAATTGTACAGGGTTTAATGGGAGATTCTAGAGGCCAAAATAACCCATTAAAATTTTTCCCAGGAGTGGCCGAACACCCTGTATAATATTTATGTAAAAGTAATTTATATTACATTATCTTCAATATTTTCAGTTGTAGTCTCGAGGAAGCAGTTAATTTATCAGCCGATGTAGTTAGAACTTTAAAATTCACATACCAATCGTTAACAAAATGCTTCACACCTCAGGAAAATCATTCCGCTTTAGATCATTTTTTTATCTTAATTATACAGCAATTACTGGATATAAAAAGTTACGTGAATAATGCGGGATTAACTAATCGTTCTATGGAAATTAATAACGACATCGAAAGTATGGAAAGTTACAAATTTAGGAGCACCTTTTCAGTCGCAAACTCTTTGGAACTATCAAGAGATGCACAAATTCAAATCGATGCTGCTTTGAGTGAAATGGAAGCGATGGATTATAGAGATTGGGTATGTATCGTACAGTAAATTAAGGAGAACGCCAAATACCATAAAACAATGTAATTCTTTTAGAATGAAGATCCCATGGACTGCCAAAGATTATATACAATTTTAGGTAGTTGCATCTATCACAAACATTACCTTCTTGGATCTCACTTGACCCATGACGATTTAATTGAAGTGAATTCTTATCTACAACAAAATTGCCTTTTCAATTTGATAACCAACGAACCTGTAAAGAGTCTTGTTATTTGGAAAAAGGTTTATCCTTCTTTATATAATCGTGGAAATACGGAAAACGGTAGAAGTATTCAGCCATTGGTTCCTAATGGAAAATGGTTTCTACTTGTTGTTGGATATGGATATGATCTGTTAGCAGTCCTCCTAGAATCTGGTGGATGTACTACAAAGTAACGCTCTCATGTTTTCCTTTTAATTATATTCTTAAAATACTTATCAATTTTATCACCGTAGGTGTAGTGAAACTACAGGTCCGGATATATTTTACGTGGAGGAAGCTCAGGAGACTCTAAAGCATATACAAAAAATAGGAGTAACGACACTGGCAGCCAAATGGATCGCTTCTAATACAAGACCAGAAGTAATACCTTACGAAGAAAATGTGTCTCTAAAACCATCATCCAGTATCACGGAAAACTTTTTGGGTCTCATAAAATCAAACGATGTACAAAGCTCGCTTACCAAATCATCCCATACTACGACTACTAGTAGAAGATCTCAAGAGATACCTTCTATTTTAAAGAAACGTAATACGGAAGAAAGTCTGACAGTCTTAGGATCTGGTAAATAACACTATTAACATTTTTTTTTTACCTACGAGTCATATGCAGTGGTAAATGTTGATGTCGTTTAAAATTTTTTACAGTGTATTCTTTGCATACATCGGAAGATTCATTGAGCCAAGGAACAGGTGGAGTTAGCGAAATAAGCGACGAAACAATGCCTATATTAGGAAGACGAGCAACAAGGGAAAAAATTTCTAGCGGATCAAGATATTCCGATGACAGTGATTCTGATATCGATATGTACAAGGTAAACAGCATATATAATTTATTCGATAAAATATTTATTTAATTCCGCGTTTTGTACATTGTTCAGTTTATATAAATATATATTTGTATAAAATACATTGTTACAGAATGACTGTCGGATATTAAACATGGATATATCTAACATACGAGAAAATCTATTAAACCAAGCCGAATATTTAACACCAAAAATATTGACCACAGGCAATAAAAATTATTTGTATCACTATGTGCATTTAGATATGGTCGAAGGGATTCTTTTATCTTCGAAGCCATTGGAAAATTCAGCAAAGGATCGTAAAATTTTGGTCAATTTTAATAAATGTGTTCACATTATACACAGACTGTTGCATAATACAGTAAGGTTTAAAAAAATGTTGAACTCAGATATGGACAAAACTGTAATTAATAAGAGTTTAATCGCTGTTAAAGAACACGGTGTGTTATTCGAATGGGAAAACGTTACGTACTGGGTTGTTGGACGACTCTATACAACTCCTCATCCGAAGGAGTTGTACGTGTGTTATCAAGATTCTGCACCGCAAAATTTAATCGAAGTAGCATTCAAGTTACATTCGTTGCACTCTTTAACATAAGTTTAAATTTGTTAGAGAATTTATTAAAACTTTGAACAAAAATTTAAAATAATAACATATTGTATTTGAACTTTTAATACGTATCAAAATTAAGCTTTACTTGATTAAATACTATTTTCTTTGTTCATTCTTCGATCATATCTCGCATTTTTTAAAGCCTTTTTAGAAATATATATATATATATATATAAATACATGTCATTAAATGTTATTTTTACAACTATGCAACATTCAATATATCACATATATAAACCTGTACGAGACTCGAAGAAATAATTCTCGTATTGAATTTCTCGACACGCGTTGGGGGTTGTGGATGTGGAATCAGGGCAGGGCTCACCGGCGTAGGAGGATGAACTATGGCAAACGAAAGTCTTAGAACGATAGAACTTGCGAAATCAGATTCACGTTTATTCGGTGTGAACGAGTGAGTCACGCGCGTCGCGTCCGTTTTTGTCTTCGTAACGGCAGTTCCGAAACAAAACCCATACAAATATTATTACTTAACTATCATACCTCACTCATGCTCGTAATTTATATTATATTATAACTTTTATTTACAAGTTAACAAATATTTAGCGTAGCTCATAATTTCAATAGAACGTATGTTTATATATACTTATAAATATCATCTTAGCGTTAAGTGTTCGGATAGAATTTGAAATCTATTAAAAATTTGAACATCGTATAAATGTTGTTCATATTTTTCATGAGCTTTTGAAGAAATTTCGTTTAAGTACTTCTCTCATTTTAAAAACATGTATTAATCTATATCTATATCCAATGTACTTTCCTCGCTCTCAGAATGTTTCGTAGTAGGAATTTTCATGTAAACACACGCACCTGCCATTTTACTCCCGTAATGTCCAGCCCAAAATAACCGATCCGAGCCTCCGTGATAAAACAAAATTTTTCTAAGCCCAGGCCCGTAATTTGAAAACTCGTGCGACACCTATTTAAAATTCAGCTCGATTAATTCTACGACACAGTACATTTTCAATTTTATAATCGTTTCGAATATACATAAACACGTACTTTGTGCCATTTATTTTGTTTCTCTCCTTCGATAATATCACGAAACTTAAAGGAATCTATCACTTCGTTATGTTTATCGAACAATTTGATAGCGCACTCATAAACGGCTGGACAATCCCATCGACAACTGTACCATTCGCTTACCTATATAAACATAAATCATTATTCGAGAACTGCCTCTTGCGTAAATATTGCATTAAACGAAACCTTTGAAAAATGTAAGTTTTAAATTACCACTATCGAAGGTTGTAAAGTATCTAAAACATATTCCATCAGTCCTGCGTCTACTAGATCGATCGTTTGCATTTTGGAGCAATGGTGATAGGAAGTACTGAAGCAAACTTGCTTTCCACCGAACAGAGGTTCGTCGTTTGGTAGAGGTGGAACTCCTAGCGGAGGATTTTCAACTGCCCACCGGTCACCTCCTTGGCTAAGGATCTTCCAATACTTTTGTATCCCATGTTCCCCGGAATGATTTATTACCAAGTTTTTTTCGAAAGGTTTCTTCTTACATATTAAATACGATACATGCCAATGCACGTCTTCATCTAGCAAAAATAATCGGCCAAGCAAAATGTTTGCCTTTTTACGCCACACATAACTTTGGATTAAAATTTTCCAACGTACGCACACAAGTTGACAATTCAATAATGACTTGTTATCGAGATAGCAGAAAATTTCCGCCAATAATTCCTGAGGTAGATACTTGTCGGCAAGAATCAATCCGTTTTCACTTTTCTCGTCGAACTTTTCACGATTACCCGTCATGTTATCTTGAAACTGTCCCATTTTATATCACGAGAATAAAAATAATATTGCTATCTGTAAAATTGTTTTTCGTCTTTTGTTTGCATAATTTAAAGTAGGAAATTATTGTTTGAATTCGCAATTGAATTATTATGTACACTTTTTTTCGGAAGAGTTAACAAACTAACCTATCACATAACCTATCACAATGAATTTTGACAATTGTAAGATATATTCGAACGTTGTATTTTATTCAACGTAGACTATTTCAATAAAATTAGAAGTTTTATCTACGTATTCAAATCTACAAAAGAGATTTGATTTATGTATTACGCTTAAATTCAAATTTCCGATTGATTCTAAGTGGCACCAGATTGCAATCCGCCCAGTTTTATGAATCATAATACGTGACACATATCATACATATATATATACATATATATATAAATACGATTAAAGTGATTATTCATAATCATTTAAATCGTATTTTTAGAAATTACAATTTTAATTTAAAATTATGTTTAAATTAAAATAAATAATTTACTTTTTCTATAAGAACCTTTAATACAACCGACGTAGTTTTAGTTATCGCAGGTATTTTAAATGTGAAAAGTAAAATTGTTATTAGGACAAGGAGAATAACGATGGAGGTAGCATATTAGAACAAATGTCTTTTTATTTCCTTTAGAATAACGTATATTTAGTGTTAATATTCAAAACACTAGTCAGAAAGTATTTAAAGGAAATAGGTACGTGGTTTTCGAACGCTAAAGAGTGGCATACGATTCTTATGATGAATACGTTTTGGTAACGGGAACCTGATTTTGGAATCGTGGAATTGTTTGACCTGAGGTCTTCGGCAATTCTCAGCTTTTACAACTTCGACTTTAATAATTTGGATGGAATGAGCACGAGCGCGATGACGAGCTCCCATGTCTCTGTAACACTGTGTTACGGCACCGCTGACAGAAAGATCTCTGTACTCTCTGTACATATTGTGAGTTCCGGACCTCGAGTCGTATCTCAACCAAATTCCAAAATTTTTTATTTTTGTCAAAGTTTTCTCTGAAATCTAGCAAGTAATACATCACATTAAAAATATCCGACGTGTTTCCAATATTCAGTTTCATTGATGGTTACCTGTTTAAGAGATACGATCTCTCCGGTGGACTTCTTGAATTTTTTTAACTGACGTAAGAAGTACCAAAATCTTGACTTTGCAACGATAGCATCGGGTGCAAATATTCTCATTTTGTACAAAGGCGTCGTTTTTTCTTTTTCGGTCGGCAACTTGCGTCCGATCACTTCGAACTCCTTTAGCTGTAAAATAAAAACATTCGTTTTTCATTGTAAGTAACTCTTTTAATATAAGCTCAAATTCTAATGAGTTCTATTATAAATTTGACGTATTGAATTAACGTATTAAATTCAAAACAGTTTGAACATGTGACGGCAAACATGCCATTGTAGGTTAGGTCGATGTTAACATACGATTAAACTTTATTTCAATCGTTTTAGATGAACTATCACGATGTGCAGGATAACGTAATTGCAAAACATTTTTTTTAACTAATAAATTCATCATACTTTTAATATATTTTTGTATATTTACTTACTTCACCCTTAGCTTTCATTGTGCCGTCTGTACAATATCACGATAAACCGGAAAAAGATCACGCTGGGTTCGCGTAAGCCGGAAATGGAGCCATTTAATTTTCGAAAGACTTCGTTTACATAAAACTTTTCCTATAAGAATTTGATTAATATTGTGTATTAGTATATTAGTATTGATTAATATTGTCGTGATTTTAATAACTAATTATATAATAATAAATGTACATAACAAGTTTTATCGAATTTTTATTGAGCACAATTATAGTTACAATTTTAACTGGTATAATTTAATACAGGGAAATTATTGATATAGTTACACAGTGCTTGTAAATATTATACAATACTTTTTATGTATGGGTCAAAAAATTGTTTATAAAGACATCTTGCGCCCTTCGATGGATATATCTACAGCTCTTCTAGTTGCTTTTATCCTTTTATTATCTATATAATTCTTCATGTGCCTCTCAAATCTGTTCATTTGTTTCTTAGTACTCTGCTAACATATCGGACACATTTAATGGATATGGACTCTTACTATGACAATAATTATACGTGAATTATATTTACCCTACTAATGTCAATGTCAGATTTCCAATCTGGTCTTACGACGTAGTCTTTATTGGATGGTTTAGGAACTCTGGCTCTTCCAACCCATCCAGGGTCTCCGGGTCTCAATGGCCTAAGCAAAATAAATTCAATAATGTCTGGATAAAGTTAATTAATCTTTAAAAGTTTAAGAAATTCATACTTGGCGTCTCCTTTTAAAGCTTTATTAATGTCTTGTGACTTTTGAGAAGAACTACCGTCTTCAATTTTTCTTCTCTTTTGGGGCGTTTGTTCCAAGTCTCTTTGCATTCGTTCCTCTTTCGACAACGCTTTAAAATCAGCCGACAAATTAAATATAGGACGTGCCCATTCATTTATCAATTTACCTGCACGTTCTTTGTTCTCTTTGGTTTCTCTAGGATGTTTGTAAAGATACATTACAGCTTTACCAATGCCAGACTGTTTCAACGATCCCTGATCAATTCTTGGAAACTAAAAATACAGATTACATTATTCGATGTTGCCTAATCGTAAAACTTGTATTTTGAAACTTACTTCCCACAAAAGCTTCAACAGACTGTCTCTAATTTTTAACGAGGGTAAAGATCGATCGGGCATCGGGGCTAACCAGTCTGTTAAAACTGCCAATACATTATGTTCCAAAAAAGCCAATTGCAGGTCGTGCTTTTTAAGTTGCGATAATACTTTCGGTAACATAGCTATTTTGTTAGTTGCGGGTTTGTTTTGTTGATTTAATTTTCTATCCTCGTCCGATGCTGTTCTCATATCGGACAAAAGTTGCGCTATAATATCGTCGTTATCGTTAATTATATCAATATCTTTCCTTTTACGTCTTCGTGATTGTTCTTCTTTCTTACGGACCAACATACGGTCGAAGTCCGACAAAGCATCATTTCTGGAATTTATTACAATCGTCAATTCTCATAAACTTCAATGCATAAAGATTTTCCATCTATTACTAATATTTCACTACAACTTTCACTTTCTTCGTACGTAACATTACTTACAGATATCTGTTATTCCTGATAGGCGTACATTAAAGACGATATGCATTAGCATTACAGTCAAATCTTAACTATTTTACGTAATGAAACATTTCCATTATATGCAGGGTGTTCGGCCAATCCTGGGAAAAATTTTAATGAGTGATTCTAGAGGCCAAAAGAAAACGAAAATCAACAAATTGGTATTCTTGATTTTCATCTTATTTTGACTTCTAGAATCTCCCATTATAATTTTTCCTAGAAGTGGCCGAACACCCTGTATATAACTAGTAAACCTTACGTTTAGGGGAGGCAGCTCCGATGACTTTGACCTTGACATATGTTGTCAAGGTCACCCTCCTGAGTAACATCCAAGAGATTATAGCCGTCTCTCGTTTTTTATTAAAAAGTTATTAGCATATAAAAATCATGTAATATTTATTATATTATACAACATATTTATTTAAATAAAACGATTATATTAAATTATATTTTATTAAAAATGGGTGTCGGTATTAGTCAGTGTAGTTATTAGGGGAATCTGGGAGACGCACCCCCCCCAGTCAGCAAAACCACTGTTCAACTCGTGGGGGATGTTCTATTTTGTGCTACGCAGGGCTCATGGAACGAAATTCCATATACTTGTTCTTTGTAACGAGAGGTAGCTATAACTTTTTGGGGAATGCTCAAAACTGTGACCTTCATAAACTGTGTGAACGTCAAGGTCACATTGAGTATACATCTACGCAGATTCTAATATAACACTAATAATACATTTTTATTAATAACTTTTTGATAAAAAACGAACAACAGCTAAAACCTTCTGAGGGTCATTCAGGGGTCATTCAACCTTGACCTTGACGACATCTGTCAAGGTCAAGGTCATCGCAGCTACTTCTCCTAAACGTTGGGTTTACAATATAATCTTTTAAACATGAAATTTAATCGACTTACAGTCCGCCATCTGCGATAATTCCGTCATCGGAATCTTCGTTCTCCTGTCGTTCAGTAGGTGCACCATCTCCAAGCTGTTTATTCTCTCCTTCTTCATCCTGTTCATCCTCGTCCTTCTTTTCCACTACTACATCATCGTTACCTTCATTCTCCGAATCAGATAATCCGTGTTTTGATTTCTTCGTTGCCTTAACACCATTATCTTCTTCTTCGGAGTCAGACAGAACTCTGTTCCTTTTTTTGATAGCAGTTTCAGAATCCTCGCTGCGACTTCTGGATCTTCTTGATTTCGATGCCGAACGAGACCTTGATTTCGATCGAGACTTCGATCTGGAGGAATGTCTAGATGCTGCGATCGAGCCCGATCTTGATCTTGATCGTGATCGTGATCGCGATTTAGAACGCGACTTTGACTTCGATCGCGAACCCGAATGTGATCTTGATCGTGATCTAGATTTTGATCGCGACTTTGATCTCGACCTTGATTTCGATCGAGATCCCGAACGCGATCTAGAACGCGACGCTTTTGAGCTGGAACGAGATCCAGATCTGGATTTAGACGATCTTGAGCTAGATCTCGATCGAGAACTTTTTCTTGAAATGGGAGACTGCGATCCTTTCCGTGATCCCGACAACGATCTCGATTTTCTGGAGCCAGATTTTGAACGTGATCTGGATCGCGATCCTTGTCTTGAAATCGATTTCACGGAGCCAGATTTTGAGCGCGATCTAGATCGCGATCCTTGCCTCGAAACCGATTTTCTTGAACCAGATTTCGAGCGTGATCTAGACCGCGATCCTTGCCTCGAAACAGACTTCGAGTGCGATCTAGATCGCGATCCATGTCTCGAGACAGACTTTGAGCGTGATCTAGATCGCGATCCTTGCCTCGAACCCAATGGTGTCCTTGATTTCGAACGCGACGAAACTTGAAGTTCCGCGGAAGGTGATCTGGATATAGATCCCTTTCGAGATACCGCAGGCGACTGTTTTCTTGATCCTGAGCCCGATCTAGATCGGGATCTCGATTTATGGTTTCCATCCAGAGAGTTCGCAGGTGATTTTGAACGGGAACCTTTTCGTGAATGGGGCGAACCTTTCCTCGATCCATCTATCGATTGGGATTTTGATCTCGAACGGGATCGAGAAGTCTTAATACAGGATGGAGATGGCGAATGTAATAGTTTTTTGTCGTCTAAAGGAGATCTAGATCTACTGTGTGATTTTGGCCGTGGACTTCCCGACAGAGACCGAGATCGAGATCTTCGTGAACCGGATGGAGAACGAGATCTAACAGACGCTTTCGGGGAACCGGAAGGAGAACGAGAGCTTGACCGAGAACGTGATCTAGCAGCCACTTTTGGGGAACCGGAAGGAGAACGAGTGTTTGACCGGGAACGTGATTTAAAATGTACAGATGGCGAAGGAGATCTGGAACCCAACGGAGAGTTCATTTTCGGGGAAGAGCACTTGGATGGCGGATTACTTCGTTTAGCCGACGTAGATCTAGATCTAGAGCGCGAATTTTGCCGAGACGCTGGATTAGAACTTCTTCTGGATTCTTCCAACGAAGAGCTTCTTGATCTCGATGGTGATTTTGCTGAACGCATCGAGTGTGGTGATTGCGATTCACTTTGTACAATTTTCCCATTTCGTTCCGGTGATGGAGATTTAGAAGGCGACTTCGAAGCACTTTTTCTATCGGCAGACTTCGATCTGGATCTAGACAGCCTTTGATTTTTATCGGATGAAGGCGATATCGATCGATTCTGGGATGGCGATCTAGAATATGATTTTCTAGAAGTAGCATTGGATCGCACAGAAGCTGGCGACCTTGGCTGCGCAGGCGAAGATTGATTGGATCTAAAAGAAAACGTTTTAAAGATTATGTTATATTAGAAATAATATTATTTAATTATTCAAATAAATACGATTTTTAAACCTAGGAGAACGACTAGGGGAGTGTGATTTAGATCTACTTCTGGCGGATCTTTGGGAATCCGCAGACGGGCTTCTAGACTTTTCGTGCTCTTCTTCCGATTCACTTCTTTCTTCTAAAAATGAAATACCATTGCATTAAAGTCACAAAATAGTCTAAAATACCAACATTTCCAAGTGTATTACATAAATATTACAATTAACGTTAACAGAACTAAAATTTCTATATGCATAAATATTTATACGTATATTTAAATATCACTGTTTTCATCATTTTCGCGTCCTAAATTAAACAAACTTTTTAAATTCAATTTACCTTCGCGATTCATTGCACTTATATACAAATATACACCTTGTCACTAATTATTAATAACTACTTCTTCACTAAAATGTGAAATGTCGATGATTCCTTGCCGAAGACCCGCTAAATTGTAAAGCACCTTCTTGTTTTTAATATCAAATTGGGATTCAGAAACATAATCGAAGAAATATATTTACGCTGAAATAACACAACAAGCGAAGTCACACGAGACGCGCGCTATTGGCCATTTCGTTTTTGGCTACTTTGTCAGGTTAGACAGGTTTCGAAGCCAACCAATCGTTATATTTTGTTAATTAAATGGAATCCATACCACATACATTTACTAAACTTTAAATCTCGCTACGGAATCGTTCGTCACAATTACTTCTTATATATTAAAGTTCACACGTTGCCGTACGAAATATCTTTGGAACAGATTGGTGCAACAACCAACGTGGGTTATTATCCAATTACGTGCAATTAATAAAATTCAAGTGGTATTTGAAAAATCAATCGTAATTTCGCTTTCTACTTAGCATATATTCAATGACCGGTTCGGGACCGACCGAAGATCACCGAGTTCCGTCGAACGTGCTTAAGGAACAATATGGCGGCCGTGGCAAAGTTTTCGCCGCCCGTATGAGAGATTCGCGTTCACCACGATTTAGAAGTTCGCGGTTAACGTTAATCGTACAGTGACCCTGTCCGGGTCCCGTGGCCCAATATCGCGAGTGGTAAATTCGTTTGTGTCGCAGCACGTCGAAACAGCCCGATGCGGGTCGCGCGCAATCCTCGTAGCGCAAATCATGACTTCGATGCTGTCCAGCTTTAACCCGCCTGTCGTTAAACGATTGCTGGGTTGGAAAAAAGCCGAGGGGGAGGACAAATGGAGTGAGAAAGCCGTGAAAAGCCTCGTTAAAAAGTTAAAGAAGTCCACTGGCCTCGAGGAACTCGAGAAGGCCATTACTACGCAAAGTTGCAACACCAAGTGCATCACTATACCAAGGTACGCTCGCTTTACATACTCCTTGCGCGTGCATAGATATTACGACCTGTGCGACCTATTCTTTTCTCTTTTTGCCTGTCTGTTTTTGTACCTGCTTTGTGACGTAACGTAACGGGTTCTGTAGAGATTTCTGCATTTATTTGCGTCTCTTTTAACGGAACTCCGGCAAATAGATAGCACGAGTACGTGTACGCGCGTCTGTGTGCGAGTGTTTTGTTCGCCGTTCATATTTACTTGCCTACGTATTCGTGCGTATAATGTCACACTCTCTATCCATTTGACGTTTCTCTTTCATTGTACTCTATGCATAAGAGACGGCTTTCCGTTCTTATTAACGAATCGACGGGATCCGGTATCCCCGATGATTTCTATTTTCGTATACTACCTTATAAACGCATGACAATTGTTACGTTGATTAAAACGTGATGCGGATCGTTTAAGAAACGACTCCGTTCGATCGATCGTCGTTGGAAACTGCAAATCATATCGAATAATATCGAGAGCGTGACAATAATCGTGTACACACGCTTGTAACGAAACAAGAGCGTGTACGTAGCGATTGAATAGGTGCAACGATCTGTTTCAGTTCCTTAAAGTTCCAACAGTTTACAAGTAGCGATTCTTCCAAAACAATTGACAGTTCGGACTTAAATTCTTGTTTCGTTCGGCCACCCATTGGGAAAAATTTTAATGGTAGGATTCTAGAGGCGAAAATAAGACGAAGATCAACAAATTGGTATACATCCATTAAAATTTTTCCCAGGGGTGGCCGAACACCCTGTATATGACCTGACCTAAGGCACTAAAGATCTATTGCCGGCGTTCGCTGGACTTTCAACGAACGTGTACTGTTTTAGATTCTGCCCTCCCGTTATCAACATGCTACATCTAACCAAACCGAAATATATAATAACAGTAATACGCTTTTAGTATACAATCGCGGACCGTAGAATCGCGTGTACGTCCACGGTGCATCATTTAGTTTCGAACGCGGGTATTAACGATAAAAAGATCTTGTCAGATATCCTAGACGAGCAGCTCGACGAGCTTTTTTTCGTTCGTTATTATTATTATTATATATTTATCGATCCTTTATCTCCAGCCACGAGTTCGTGCGGGGATAATCCTAATCGATGGCACGTGTTCTCTCCGTCGATTTCTTGGCAATCAATTCGCGTGCGTTACGTCAGTTTGTTCGTTCAGTACTTGGTGCAAACCCGGCGATAATATTTGCTTTTTAAACAACCGGACGATACTTAAAATCTCTATTATCCGAACCAATATGGAATCAACTTCACCTTGAAGCATTCCAGTATGCATTATAGTTAATACTTCGGAATGTAAAGAGCAATTGAATCAAATTTCAACCGAACTGGACAAATATGGTGGAGTTCTTCTAGGATTACACACCTCCTCCCCTCTAGTGGTCACGCCCCACACTTTAGAAAACATTGACTCAACGGGTTAGTTTTTGTCAATGTATCCAAGTCTGCTAGTAGTCAATTTAGCGTTCCTCACAAACAAAAAAAAGACGAAATGTTAAAACAGTAAGTGTAATTAAAATACAAGCCAGTTCCGACGATTAAATAAATAAAAATTTTAATAGGGGATTCTAAAGGCTAAAATAAGACGGAAATCAAGAATACCAATTTGTCGATTAAGGCTTCGTTAAAAAGTTATTAACAATTGCGTCTGTACGCAGGTTGCCCATCTACAAGTGCAATTGTTAATAACTTTTTAACGAGGCCTCCATCAACAAATTGGTATTCTTGATTTTCGTCTTATTTTGGCCTCTAGAATCCTCCATTAAAATTTTTCCCAGGGGTGGCCGAAAAACAAAATGGACACCAGCAACATTATAGTTTTATACGTATTTTAATAAAATCACTTTATCTCGCTGTAACACGATAGTTGGGTATAGTGATTGCACGCCGTGCGTTATCTTGGCAATTATGTAACAATCTTTAACGAATAAGCCGCCGCGTACCAACGAACGAGCGAAATGAAAGCAGCTGTCGCGCACGACGCGCGACAATGTTCGAAACGTGTAACCGTGTAAACGATTCTTTTTTTTATCGTTTGTGCTCGTGTATTCGGATCGGAATAAATAACAATTAACGCGCGCGGCGTCCGTTTCAGTTGCGAAACGTGGCTGGGAATGAGACACGTGCGCGTCACGTTGCCCCGCGCTCGCGATCCATCTTTCTTCGCGCGAGAATTGTTCTTCGGGGGCTTTGAAAATTTTTTTCACCTAACCAGTGACAGTCGTGACACGTACAATCGAGCGTCGGTTCGATCATTCGAAGTGGTGTGTTCCTTGATACGGCGATAGGGAAGGCGAGAAATGTCGGACCTCGATAAAACGAACTCGAAGTTTCGTTTTATCGAGGTTTCGACTTACGGAGACTCAGTAACCAATATTTTAGCTTACGAAGGTATCTAACCGATGAAGGACACCGAATTTAATGTAAAAATTCAATTTAATGTCAATTCTGACCCGGATTTCATCTTTTAACAAAATTACAATGGGCAGTGATTCGATTTTGAAAAACGTTTTCTAGTGTTTTATGTGCACACGTAATAACAATAAGTTCGTTAATAATTTTTAAAAGAATTTTAAAAAAGAAAAAAGAAATTCAAAAGTGTTTATATTTTAGTTTGAACGTGTTTACAAGAGTGTAATGTTGTATACAGTGTTTTAAAATTTATTTAGTTATTAAAAATAGTTATTTTTGACAATTTTAATTTTGTATAACGACAAAACTTCCTCGAATCGTAAATACGATACTGTACGCGTAGAATGTAGATTATATAAAAATTGCTTGAACTTTGTACATTTTTGAAAATGTTTAATTCAAAGAACTAAGTGACGTTAAAGAGGAGATTTGAAGTGGATTCGAAGATAGGAAGAGTTGTATACATAACCGTACAGACTGTGTACATATCGTATACATAAATCAGTCTTATCGCTTAACACGTGACTGATATTTTAAAAACATCATCGGTACGATCGACTATGAGATACATAATGGATATTAGGACCTTTGATATCACGAACAAAATTAAAAGATAATACAAAAACGAGAAGGTCTTGGTTTTATCGACGAAAGTGTTAATCCTTCGCAGGCGGCCATTTTGGTTCACGAAACAGGATTTACTGGAACAATTGTCCCAATAAAAATTAATCGAAATAAGCTGCCTTCGATAAATAATAAATCGAATGTTATTCACGAATAAAGAAGAAACAAAATAACAATAAACGTTATTTATTTATTTAAACAAAAAACATATACACTCGTTTATTTTTTGGTTCTCGTAGATCTCTGTAAATGAACAAATTTGCGTATCTTGTGATTCGTTGTTTAAAATTGTTATCTAGATAAGAATTTTAATCATCTACGCAAACAAACGATCATGAATTTTTCGTTCGAACGGACGTGACTTTACAAAGTCACCGATAAACGAATCTAGCAGTGACATAGGACAAGAGAAATAAATCTAGAAGGAAAATCAAGATAAGCGAGACTTGTATCATAGCGAAAGAGTATAAGATTTCATCACTGTTGGCTTATGACGTGCCAACGATTGGCGTCTCCGGTTGTTAAAGGGCAGCCTCCGTCATATAATGTGTTAATTTAATGAATTGTTAACAGACGTTATTGTCTTGTAAACAGAATCAAACCATCTCGGACGATCACGAGCACAAAGTAGTGCAAATTGATACTCGGGGCAAAACGACGTACGCAGACGCGCCACGTAGATTTTGCACTCTAAATTAAAACTTTTGCAAATCATATTCACCGCTTTACACTGTAAATTTAATCGTAAAAGGGGTTAATTTGAAGTGAAAAATTTTTATTTCACGCTCGAGCGTCGCAGGATCTTCGAAAGCTGTCCTCTCCGGTGCTCTTGTTTCAGAAATTTAAATGTAGCGTTCAGCGCGTGCTATCTTATCTGTAGATTGCATAACGCAGACGTTACGCATTGTAGGTTAAAAGGATCGCAGCGATTTTCGGTGGAACGTTCGAGAAATACGCGAACAGGACGAAATCGACGTCTTCGCGTTGCTTTTTGACGTTCGATTTTGAGGTTAGAACGAACGATTAGTATTTTGCTGGATTTTGTATTATTGCGCAATGATGTGAAAGCGTATCCTGAATAAATTCGCGTATCGGAATCGATTGTCTTACAGCACGTAGCTCATAACGATGTTATTAATAGTAATCCTAGCCACGTCGTCGTGCGTCCAAGGATACTCGACAGGAGAGAGGGAAAGTCTGTCATCGAGAAAGGCAGATCCTTCTGTAACTCGGACGAAACGCGCGCGTTTCGTGTTTCGTGTTTCGTGTTTCGATACTCGCCGCGAGTTACGTTTTTCGCCACGGTGTCGCGATTTTGTCGCTCGAAACCTTCGGCTCGTCCTTAAGGCGACGGCCGCCATGACAGTTTCTCATGGCTAAGGACGTACTAAACTTTTCATTAAGTGTCCAGTGACATATAAACGCTTTTTAAGGTTAGATTCCGTTGTGTTGGTAATATCGTACGGGAAAGGTATAATTTTTCAATACATATTTAAAAGATGCAGAGTAATTAAACTTTAAACAAGATAGCAACAATTATAGTGTGTATATAAATTAAGTACCATGGAGGACGATTTTATATTATAGTTTCAATCTGTTCTCAGGCTTTTTCTCAGTTCCAATGCATTTTGGCTGGAATAAAATTCCGTTTATCTCCGATCGCCGGTCACCGGTGACCACCAGCGGCAGTCCACGTGCTAGTACCTCCGGTTGATAACTCCGTGCTCACAATAACCTCCCGGAAATTCGATTTCGTTCCACCAGCTGGACGCGTCGCGATCCACCGACTATTTACACGGTCGTTAACGAGCGTTTGATTCGCGCGCGACTCGAGGAAATGAAATTTTCGTCCGTGTCCCGCGGTTTACCGATCGCGATGTATCGCGTACCTCCGTGAATGGCGTTTCGTTTCTGCATTGT